TTTTGTACTGGGGATCGAACTTGGGACCTTGCGCTTTGAGGCAGGCGCCAGAACCACTGAGCTAAATCCCCGGCCCCGTTTTTTTTTTTTTTTTTATAAGACAAGGTTTTGCTAAGTCATTAAGTTACCTGGGCTGTGCTCAAACTTTTGATCCCCCTCCCTCAGCCTCCTGGGTGCTGGATTACAGGGGTATGCTACCACACCTGGCTCAGAGAACTCTAGGTTTGTGGGAACCATATCGAAACTCTACCCCACATCCTGCTCTCTAAGAACTTTCAAATTTGCAGAAGGGAGCAAGATAATACAGGTACCTATATTTAAACACAGATGTAGAAACCTGCCCATTTATAAATAAGCCAGGAAGCCCTGCCCTGTTTGATGACCCCAGTATGGACAAAAACTGAAGACTACTTTACAATATGTGATGATGGCCCTGTGCCAGGGCAGCTGGCACCTGCACCCCTCAGCCCTCTCTCCAAATGGCCCCATGGTTCTCCAAGGGAGGGATTCACTTTGGGAGGGTGCAACTTAGGAATAAATGGCAGAAACGCATGTGAACCTGACAGTGACACATGGGCTAAATGTCAGGAGAACTGGGGACCAGCATGAGTAAAGGGGACAACAAGCAGAAATGTTGCTTTTTGTTTTCTGCACAGGGCCTTTGCACTGTGCTACATCCCCAGTCCTCCTTTAATTTTTTTATTTTTGGTACCAGGGATTGAACTCAGGATCTTGCACTTGCAAGGCAGGCACCAGAACCACTGAGCTAAATCCCCAGCCCTCTCCTTTTATTTTTTATTTTGAGTCAGTCTCGCTGAGTTGCTCAGGTTGGGCTCAAACTTCTGAAAATCCTTTTGCCTCAACCTCCCAAAGTGCTAGGACAACAGGCGTGTACCATCACAGCCAGCAGAGAAGATTTTCAATACTGGAGGGTCCTGAGGAGCGGGCTGCTCTCATCACTCACCCCCCTGAAGCCGGGCCTTCGCTGCCTGCTCGTGGATGCCGAAGAGAAAGCGGAAGCTGAAATCCTTCAGGCGGCTCAGGCGCTGCATAGTTTGGGCCGAGGCCCAGGGAGGCAGCAGTAGCCCATGGGTTTGCTGTGTGGCGCAGTGGGCAGGTTAGTTCCTGGGCCTAGGCCAGAGCCTCTCGGGGGCCTCTCCTCCCCAGAGGGAAGGTGCCTGTGTGTGTGAGGGGACAGGAAACAAGAGGTGAAGCAGAGGGGCTCAGGCAGTCACAGTGGGAGGTGTAGGCCAAGGCACCGGAGAGGAAGCTTAGGCTTAAAGAGCGAGATCAGCAGATAGGATCTGACACCACGAACTCCGGGTTAGAGGAGCAAGAATTGCTGACGACCAGCAAAGCAGTTCCCACTCTGAGATTCTCTTCCCCCACTGGGAAGTTCCGGTGTTTCACAAGCAGCTGCCTGCTGGCCACCCAGACACTGCTCCACTGTCCCAAGGCCTGGGCCTGGCGAGGGTGAGGACAGCAATCCCACAGGCACCCCAGCAGGCTCACCTCACAGAAGAGAGTGTCATACACATTCCACACGGTCTCCAGGGTCAGGTCTGCGAGCCCCGTCTCATTGGCCACCATGGCTAGAAATTGCTATGGAAAATGAATCGGATTAGTCTCACCTAGGGGACAGGGATCAGGGCTCCAGCTGCCCCCACTCACTGCGTTCTGGGCACTCTCATTCTGATACTCTGCTGTCTGCCGGGTCTCATTCTGCAGCTGCTCATAACGGGGACACGGGCCCAGCGGGAACTTCAGCAGCTGCAGAGCAAAGGGAGAAACAGAGGCACAGAAGGAGTCTAGGGTGAGCAGGCCCAGGATCACAGCTGTCCCTGAGTCATCTCCAGGGAAGGGCTGGCCAGGCTTACCCTGTCCTCAGTGAGGGGCACAGTGTGCACAGGGATGGGCTGCCAGGAGATGTTCGGGTTGAAACACTGCATCCCATCAGGAGGGAAGAGTCCAGCCAGGTTGGCCTCTGCACTCATGAGCGTGCGGTCAAAGTCCGTACTGCGCACGTAAACCTGCCAAGATGGGACAAGAGAGGCTGTGTGTACAGAGGGGCTCTGCCCTCGCTGGAGCCTGGCACACTGGAAACCCACCATGCCCTCTTCCCTTCTCCAGAGTGAGAAAATAAGGAACAGAGTAGCTTGTGAAAAAGACACTGTGGATGAGCAAGCTCAGGACAAAGCTGAGCCTCAAGGGAACAATAACATGTAGACTCTTGGGACAGCTGTGGCTGGCAGCAGCAACCAGAGCTACCCAAATCCCCGGAGTGGGGAGGGGACCTCAGGAGCCAGCACACTTGCCAGCCTTTCCAGCTCCCCTTTATCTTGGCCTTGTCTGGCTTATCATCTGACACCTCTACTGCACTCTAGGCTCCAGGAAGTCAGATTGTATTCATGTGGTGCATTATTATAAACAAGTGCACTATTGCAAGCACAGTGCTTGGATCTTAGCAGGTGCTAAATAAATGTCTTGGATGGGAAGCCTGTAATTCCACAGTCAGTCCTTTGCCAGGCCTTTCCTTAAGTCTGGGTTGGATGCTTTATCAGTGATGCCTCTTCCCAGCTAAGCAGGGCCAGCTCAACCTCCAGGCCTGTGTTCTGGACCCCTTGGATCTCTTGTTTTGTGACTAAAAAATGCTGGAAGAAGGCCGAAGTGCCCAGCCTCTCACTGAGGCTCCCTGAGGACAGTGGGGGACAACAACAGATCCCATTCCTCTCGCCTCTTGTGCTCCCAGCCTTACCTCTTGCCGGCGGTAAGAGGCGTTTAGGAAGCCATGGTAGCGCTGCCGCAGAGCCTGGCCCAGCTCCCAGTGCTGCTGCATCCCTTCCTGTGGGCAAACTCAACGTTAAGATCGTCCAGGCAGGAGGGATGGCTCACATGGCCCAAAGGATTTAGGCACTGTTTCTTTCTAGGTTGACCCCTGGCTGGAAGTGAAGTCATTTGGTAAGTGGTCAGTTGTACACGGCACTGTCCTGGCCACAGAATGTAATGTAAAGTTCTAAATCTGGTCAAGGCTGGCTGGGGATGGAGCTCAATGGCAGAGCATGTGCTTAGCATGCCTAAGGCCCTGGGTTCATTCTCAGCACCAAATATAACAACAAATCTGATCTAAGTTCACACCCATGTAGGAAATGGCTGTTTAGGGACCCCCAAATTCTGGAGCCTGCTCCAGAGGTCACTCCACTGTTCAGCTCATCCTGAGGGCAGCTGGCATCTGACCCACCTTGGTTAGCTGACCGAAACCCTGGGGCCATTCCTCTTCCTGATGGGGGTCCTTGGGATATGTCTTCACTGGGGATCGGTCTCCATGTCGATACAGCTGAGGGAAGAAAATGGCTTGCCTGCAGATCAGAAGGGTCTCCTCTGCCCCTGCTGGTAAGGGAGCTTCACCCCTCTGGGAAGCCTTATTAGCCATTGCAAAAGATCCTCCTTCACGAGGATATTATCTTGGCTAAGAAATGTATCGCAAGGCCATAGGTAACGTGAAAGGCACCAGTGGGAAGGACTTAAGAGTAGTAAAAGCAATGCATTCGGGGGGGGAAAACTGGGAAGAGTGAGCACCAATGTCATTTGATGAGTGAATCTCTTCACCCTTTAACTACATCCCTGTCCCAGGGCAGACTCATCCTACCTGCCTTGATCTTTTAACTCTTTACTCGGGCGCCTGACGTCCAGAATGGCCCAGGGCTCCAAGTCAATGCTGAGCCCACCCTCTCGAACTCCCCAGGCCAGGCGTCTCCTATACCAGGCTCGTCCTCCCCCTCGAGACCCCCGACCTCAGCGCAAGCCCTGCCCCTCCCTCCACAAGCCAGCCTTTGCCCTCTAGCTCTGGTGAACCCTTTGGTGACTCCGTCACCCATTACCAAGGTAACGAAGCGCAGGCTACGGGCCTGGGTGGGTGGCATCACCATCAGGTTCACTCCAAGAAGAAGCTGGAGAAGAGCCGCCCGGCTCCAGCTAGACCTTCTGCCCGCCATCACCGCGGCGGTCTGTGCAGCAGAGAGCGGAACTCGCCGCGCTGGACCTGCTGCCGCCGCCCGGACACATCCGTACGGCACACCCACCGGAAATGCACTTGCCGCCATCTTTGTAAGGGAGGCTCTGGGGAAGGCGGAATCGGAGAGGAAAAACGTTGAGCAGATTGGCGATTTGAGTGTAGCAGAGGAGTACGGAAATGTAGCCCAATTTCGCGTGGCAGAGAGGGCTTGAAAACCTCGTTTTGGTAAAGAGGGCCCAAGATCCGGTTTGCCTCTTTCCCTACCAAGGTGGTGGTTTCATGGGGCGGAACAATGGCAGGGCGAAAGAGCGCCCCCTCAGGCCAATGTGTTGCTGGGTCCGCCCCTAGAGTGCGGCCTTGGGGCCATGGCTGGGGCAATGCAGGGCGTCCTCACCACGCCCCTGCCTTCGGGTCGAGTTGGAGCCTGGCTCTGGCCTTTTTCCCCCGAGAGAGGTCTTTTTTGGGGTGCAGGGCACAGTTTGTGAAGAGCCTTTTGGACTCCCTGTGTCCTTGAGGTTGGTCCCCTTCTTGTCTACTTGCTCTTCGTGTCCCCAGCAAAGCTTAAATAACCCTCTTAATTCCTTTTCCTGTGCTCCTGCCTATCCACCGCCAAGTTTTAGTTAATTAGAGTTAAGACGTCAGTCTTCTTCCCCAAGGATTCCGGGTCGCACAGAATGTTCAGACTTCCCAGACCCAGGGAGATCTTTCATACCACTGGGGCGATATTTGGGGCCAGTGCCGAAGTCAGTGTGGAGTCCACAGAATCAGAGAGCTTCTTAGCTTTGGGCCTTAGGATTCAGGTATAGCCAGTTTGGCCTCAGGACTTTGAGCTTGGAGTGACTCACAGTTCAGCAGTTTGGGCCTTGGGACACTTTGATTAATAGCCTCTAAGAACAAATCCACCTCAGGCCATTGGCAAACAAAGCTGATCAGAACTGTTGTTATCTTGTTCTGGGACTCCAAATTCAATTATTTGCATATACCTCACAGTCTGAACTTACTGAGTTGTCCTGAAGGAAGCTGAGGAGTGAACAGAATAGGGAGGCTGGGTAGCCAAGTAGTTGTTAACGTTATTAGTCATGAGCAATATTGTGAATCCTTCAGAAAAGCACACTAATAGAACACACACATATAAACACACTCAACGGAATTTTGGTATAGTCCCGACTTTCCACAAAACCCTCCATAGGTTTATAAATCAGTACCTCTAAATCCCAATCTGACCTAATCCTGTTACTTTACAGACTGGGAAACAAACCCAAAGAGAGGAGATGATTTGTCCAAGCTCACACAATTTAGGGGAATGGGTTGAAATTGAAATTTGCTGCCAGTTAATATTTTCTTATGGGGGTGTGTGTATGACAGAATTGAACCCAGGACCTTTACAGTGTGCTACATTCCTGACCCTTTATTTTGAAGGGGAGGGGACAGATTCTAGCCAAATTTTGCAGGCTGGGCTCAAGCGAAATCCTCCTCCCTCAGAGTGCTGGGATTACAGGTGTGTGCCATCAAGCCTGGCCCATTAATCTTTGTAATGGGCTGTTGCTCACAGACTGCCCAGACTGCATTACTCATATACTGTTATTTAGTATCCTCAAAGAGATTTCTGCCAGAGGAAACCTTTTCACATTACTGGGATTGAATGGGGCATGGCTGGCTGGCAAATATTACACATTAAAAATATATGTATATATTACACATTAGTGGAGCTTTTAGAGAATGTTTCCTTTTCATGTGACCCTTACTCTTCCTGCAAACTAGCCATACCATTGTGCTTTCCGAATATAAACCTTTAGCTCACCAAATTTTAGCAAGTAGAATAAAACTGCCTCAAATTCATCTTTTGCTTTTCTTCCCACTTGCTCAAATATGTCTGTATCCTTTGTGCCTGCAAGTATCCCATGTAGGAGGGATTATTGATGATGCAGATTTCTTTTTTTTTTTTATGAAGCACACTTTATTTCAATTTTTTTGTTTTATTTGGTTTGGTTTGGTTTGGGTTTTTTTGGTACCGGGGATCGAACTCGGGTCCTGGCGCTTGTGCGGCAGGCGGCAAAACCACTGAGCTAAATGCCCGGCCCTTTATTTCAATTTTTACAGTGAGAAATGATTCCAGAATGGATAGGGATTGCAAGTAACTGGTAGGGCCTGGAGTTGAGCCTCAATTTCTGGGTTCCCCAGCTTTCGCATATTTTCTACCCAGTGGTTCTGTGCTCTTCACACCTTGGTTCCTAAATACAGATTGGAAAAGGGTGGCTAGATGGTTACATGGGCCTACCCCAGCTCCAATAAATCAGTGTGTGGGGGTGAGGCCAGGTTTGGGAACCACCACTGTACCCTGACTTGGCAGGTGAGTTAACCATTCTTCCCATCTGGGATGCCAGCTTTGTGTAACAGAGTGAGATGAGGTTTCATTTTGTTTGAGCTTGTACTTTTGAATCAGCCTTATCTGTACTCAAACTTGATATTTGGACCTTGCTAGTAACTATCTCCCAGGGTTTATGGTGAAGATGAAATAATACCTATAAGGATAAATTATAAGAACCTCTTCTTTGTTTTCTCCCTTCTCTGTCATCTCTGGACTTAGAGGTCTAGGAAGCAGGAATTCCTGGATTCTTCTCTGGTTGGGAGGTTGGGCGCTTGGGCAGAAGTCCTTTGAGTTTGTACTTAGTGGTCTGCAAGATGAGCCCGCACTTTCCACAGAATGGGGACAAGAAGCAGTTGACCCCACCCATGTCTGCAGACCTTAGCGAGTGCCCTGCATCACAGGAATGAGTCCCCTCAGGGAGGTGTCCCAGCAGGGCAAGCGACCATGGGTGGGCCAGTGCTCCTATTCCTGTGCTCAGGCTTCCTTTGCTGCCAGTAGAAGCCTCTAGAGATTGGGTGGGTGGGAGGGGGTGTCAGAAATGTGACTTGGGAAATTCCTGAGGGTGTTCCTGGAGAGTTGCCTCCAGTGGGAGCCAAGGAGACATACGACGGGGACACTCTGGGCCTACACCTGTTGGCCCATGGGACTGTGCCATGAAGGTGGGGCTAGCAAAGTGGCACGTTTGGGTCCAGCTGTGGATCACCTGATGGCTTGCCCGAGCTTGCACAGAAGTCCCAGTGGCTGGTCTCTGGACTCTTGAACAGGGCTGGGTCTTCCCCATTCCCCTCCCCTCCCTTCCTAGTAGGGGGCTCCCCAACCCTTGGAGCTGGCAGCAAACACTAGCAACACCCCCTTTACAGAAGGCCATCCTGGGCTGACTCCCAGCTGGGAGCATTTTTTTCTTGACCTACTTGTTCCCCGCAACTCCCTCCAGCCTGGCTCAGGCTCTCGCCTGGCTCAGCTGGGGCTTGTGTGTGGCCCTGGGTCCTGGAAAGGTACCTGCAGGAGACTGGGGGGTCAGGAGAGGGAGTTAAGGGTCATGAATAGGTGCGGGAGGTTTTTCTCAGCTCAGGAGATGAGTTACCAGGCCTCAGACCAATGTTACATCCCAAGTCCCCAGGAACCAGGGGTCTCAGGGACGTCAGTGACTCGGCTGCTGTGCTGGAGCCTGGACAGAGAGGCAGCGGGAGCCGGGATGTGGGTGCAGGGACAGAGCAGGCCAGGTCTCCCTGAGGCTGGTGTCCCTGGTGTCTGCTTTCCCAGGACAGCTGGGGCCTGTGAGAACCAGGGAAGGAACATGTGAGAGGAACAGAGAACCTTGTGCTCATGACTCAGGAACGCCCAGACCAGGGTGGGGACCGTGGGAGGGGATGCCTTGTGACGAGAGGGAACAAGAGCAGGAGCTGGAGGCAGAAGTTTGAGATGGGGGCTGTCAGAGGGGCTTTTAGGAAATGTGAAAGTGAATGCATGGGCAGATTTTGCAACAGCCCCCGGTCTGCTGTCTGCTTGTGTGTCCTGGTCCCTGCCCCAGCCCGGGCTTCCTCATCTCCCACAGGCCCTGCTGATCTTCAGCTTTCCCAGCCTGCTCCCGGCCATTCCTCCATCCTTCCCTGTGTCCCAATCCTCTCTCCATCGTCCCTCGCTCCCTCTGGCTGCCCGCCCTGGCCCCTGTCCTGTGCTTTAATGTGGGCCCATGGGAACTGGAGTTCACAGCAAAACAGGAAGAGCCCATGTGCAGGAAACTGGGAATGGGGCAGGGGGTGAATGGCCAGCAGTAACCTCGTCTCCTGGATCCCTCCTGCATCTGGGCAGAAGTGTGTTTCAGGCTCCCCCCCAGCTCCTTCCGTCACAGTCCTCCACTGGTCCAGCAGACGCCACCAGAACAGGACACGAGCGTGCTGGACTCTGAAGCTGGAGAAGAGGAGCTCAGGGACTCTGTGAGGACACACGGGTTCTGACCCCAGCATAGCCACTGTGTGTGGTCTTAGGCGAGGCCTCTGTGAATGGAGTTACTCACCCTCCCTCCCTGCTGGCACTGCTGTAAGGACCACAGAGGGTTAGCTGCGGGACTCAGAGGGTTAGCTGTGTTCAGGTTCAGAGTAATGGAGAGACCTTAGCTTGGAGGAACTGGGAGAGATGACAACCACTGCCAGGTCTGGGACACTTACTGTGGGGATAGGTTTGATTTTCACAGCAATCTTAAATTGTTGTTGTTATCATTATTATTTGAGACAGGGTCTCATTATATAGTTCAGGCTGGCCTCGAACTCTTGGTGATCCTCCTGCCTCAGCCTCCAGAGTGCTGGGATTACAGGTGTGCACCACCATGCCTAGGTATTGTTATTATTATTATTATTAACGCCGTTATTATTGCCCCCATTTTAAAGATGGAGAGAGGCTCAGAAACATTAAGTAACTCAGTCAAGCTCATAGAACAGGACTAGGGTGTAGGTCAGTGCTAAGGTGTTTGCCAAGCATGTGTGACCCCTGGGTTGGGTCCCCAGCATTATGAAAAAGGACTGCTCAACCAATGAGAGTCAGGGCTGGGGCCAGAACCCACTGTCTTGGCCCAGAACCCAGATGCTAAATGAGCGTACTGAGCTGAAATGACTCCAGCTGACAAGTATGAGACAGGAAAGGATCCTAATTTTCTCATTTACTTATTCATCCAACAGACAGGAGCACAGAACCTAGTCTGTTGCCTCTGCTGTGCCAGATCCTGTTTCAGGGATTCTGGGGGAGAGAAAAATAAACAGAGCCTGGTGTTTTTCTCCAGGAGTGAATCCCAGGCATGGGTTCAGTCTCAGTGGAACCTGCCATAGCCTCAGGTGTCTCTTTCGGGGCCCATCCTGGGCTGGCCTCTGGGTGCTGCCATCTGCTACCCTCCCTTGTCCCAAGCCTGCCATGGCCGCCAGCCCCCACTGTGGCCCTGCAGGGCACCCACACAGACTCCCTGGAAGGCCGGGCACCTGCCTCTCCACCCTTGGCCTCCTACCAGCTTGGCTGTGTCCTGGGGCTGATGGGGAGAGCTTGGCCCCTTCCCGGAGGCAGGGGAGGAGGAGGCAGGCTGGGAACGCAGGCCTGGGCTCTGTGTCGCAATCTCGCAATCTCGACCAGTGCAAGACCTTTGCTCCTCGAGGTGTCTGTGGAGGGAGGGAGGGACGCTGACTTTGGAGGCTGCCGGGATTGGGGTGGGGGTGCCTGAGAAGCAGACCTCCTGTGAGAGCCAAAGCCTCCTCGGGAAGAGAGGGGAGAGACGTGCAGTCGCGCCATTCTGCGGGATACTCGTCGCACTTGAGGGTAGGGGACTGGGTGGCGCCCACTGAGGGGACGGCAGTCTGGGGAGGAGCCAGGCCCATGGGGAAGCTAGTGCGGGGGCGGGCGGCGGCCAGGAAGAAGAGGTGGCCCGACCCCTCTGAGATCCCTCCCCTCAGCCTCTCCCCACATTACTCCTTCACGCTGGGTTCAGCTCCAGTTGCAGAGGGTACTGCACCATCCTCCTGTCCCAGCAAGGGGGCTCCAGAGACTGCGCAGCCAGGGAGTCTGGTGGCCGGGGGACTTGGTGGGTCTACTCTGCTGTGGCCTGGGCTGTGCTCATGGGTCGGGTGGACAGCTCCTGAGAACCTTAGAAGGGGGTCCTAGGAGAAGTGAGGGGGGACAGTGATAGGAGCTTGGGCAGGGACAGACTTATGTTTAGTTCCCAGAGGAAATCCTGAGGGCTCCGGGGACAGCGGTCCTGTATGTGAATTGGGGAGACACTTGGAGCAAGAGATTGACCCCAGAAGGCAGGACTGAGATTCTGCGGCAAGCAGCCTTTTGTCTTCGCAGAATGGACCTCCGTCCTGTGTCTGGGTACTGCCCACCTCTGCTCTCCCCAGTGCTGCAGTGAGGGGAAGGGGCTGAAAGAAGCAGGCCAGATGTCCCTGCCATCCCCCGATGGCCCGGAGTGGGGGCTTGGAACGAGGGGTGGCACAGTGGCTGAGAGTGACTTTGGAGTCAGAGAGACCGGGGTTGCTGTCTCAGCTCTACCATCACCTGACTGTGTGGTTGTGGCTGATGTGCTTAATCTTGAGCCTTAGGGGCTTATGAATAGTCACGGCAGGGAGGATTGTAAGTTCTAGGCCAACCTGAACAGCTTAGTGAAACCCTGTCCCAAAAAGTAAAAGGCTGTTTGAGCAATTGTCTAACATGTGCAAGGCCCTGGATTTGATCCACAGTGTCGCCAAAAAAATAAAGTCCTGACCTCAGGGATATTACGAGGAAGGATGTAAATCTTAGCATGGGCTGGTATATGGCAGTTCAGTGCCACCTGCTAATGTGAGCACTAGAAAGGCAGGAACAGGAGAAAGGAGCTGCGTTCTGGAAGCACATGACCTGGGTTGTTCCTGCAGGACAGTGCCTTGGTAATGTCCACGGTTCCGGGAAGAGATGTCCTTGTGGCTGGAGGCCCCTGTGCCTGGTAAGCATCTTCATTCCGGCCCTGTCCCCTGTGCCCGGTCTCCAGCTCCTCTCCCCCCGGGACCCAGCCTCCTTCCTGCTGCATCCTGCCCTCCTCTAGACAGTGGCATGCAGCTGTCCTTTTGTACTTGCCTCTTGCTCAGACCACCCATGCCCTGGCTCTGGTGCCCTGGGAGAGCTGGCATGTCTAGTGCTTACCCAGCCCTGGCTTGGGAGAGCTCTGATCTCTGAAATGGATGCCCGCCAGGGGGCAGAGGTTAACATGTTCATTTAAACTCTTGATGTCCAAGGGTCTACAGCCAACCAGTCCTAGAACCCAGGTGTCCTGGTGCGGGAGCTGGGGTTGGGCACCCTCTAAGGGTGGAGAACACTTTGAAGTTTCCCAGCTGGGGGACCCATATGGGAGGGGCCTGAGACTCCCCTGTGCCTCTCTTTTGGGCTCAGACTCTGCAGTGGAGCTGTGGGAGCCAGAGGCCCACGATGTCAGCAGCCAGGCCCAGGGAGGCAGCAGCCGCCTCCTCAGCAAGGAAGCCAGGATGCCTCCAGCTGCCAGGGGCACTTTGGCAATGGGGCTGAAGGCAGAGGAGCCCACAGCCCTGCTCCCCAGGGTGGAGGCCCTTCCAGAGCCCACAGGTGAGGAGCTTCTGGATTTAGAGGAGATCGGGGCTCCCTGGATCTGTGTTTTAGGGGGACATTTGGGGTCTTGACCTTATAATATGGTCAAGCCCAAAGACTTTGGGGTAACAACCCGAGTCATCTGAGTGTGAGTTCTGTTTCTACCTTAGGCCTTTCTGAGCCTCCCTTTACTTCTTTTGTAAACAGAATGGATAATTGTGATTGTTGTAAGGGGCAGTGTATTGTAAAGGGTTCCTATGGTACCTAGGAAGGACCACCTTCAGTGAACGAGGGGTATTGGTCTTACAGTAGAGAGACCAAGCCAGGCAGGGTGGCTTGTGCCTGTGGCCCCAGTACTTGGCAGGCCAAGGCGGGAGGTGATCCTTGCGCCTAGGAGTTTGAGGACCCCATCTCAAGAGAGAGAGAGACTAGACTTGGTACAATGAAGGGAGCGAAGGCCACTGATGCCCACCGCAGTGATGGAGTCAGGGAGAACATGACGGCTCTTCCCTGACTCCAGAGCTCCGACCACAGAAGCGGAAAAAGGGGCCGGCCCCCAAGATGCTGGGCAATGAGCTGTGCAGTGTGTGCGGGGACAAGGCCTCCGGCTTCCACTACAATGTGCTGAGCTGCGAGGGCTGCAAGGGTTTCTTCCGCCGCAGTGTCATCAAGGGGGCGCACTACGTGTGCCACAGTGGCGGCCACTGCCCCATGGACACATACATGCGTCGCAAGTGCCAAGAGTGTCGGCTTCGCAAGTGCCGCCAGGCGGGCATGCGGGAAGAGTGTGAGTGTCTCAGGCAGGAACTGGGGAGAGGCCGGAGGGGAGAAGGGGGTGCCTGTGCCTGCTGGGCTCCCAGCTCCTGGAGGCAGGTTTAAATCTCTTCCTTGCTCATACTCCACCTTTTCGGAACCTCAAGCCACCCTCCATGCCCCAGCCTTGCTTCCTGTGCCCACTTCTGACCCGTCCTAGGTGTCCTGTCAGAAGAACAGATCCGCCTGAAGAAACTGAAGCGGCAAGAGGAGGAGCAGGCCCAGGCCACATCTGTGCCCACGAGGCCTGCCCCGCCCCACCAGGTCCTGCCCCAGCTCAGCCCAGAGCAGCTGGGCATGATTGAGAAGCTGGTTGCTGCCCAGCAGCAGTGTAACAAGCGCTCCTTTTCTGACCAGCTTCGTGTCACGGTATTGGGCAGGTCTGGGGAGTGGAGGCTGTGCCCGAGCCCTGCGGGACTCCTGACGCCCAACTCTAAGCAGTCTGCCCTCTCCCTCCTCACCCTCCTGGGTAGCCTTGGCCCATGGCACCAGATCCCCACAGCCGGGAGGCCCGGCAGCAGCGCTTCGCCCACTTCACAGAGCTGGCCATTGTGTCCGTGCAGGAGATTGTCGACTTTGCCAAACAGCTGCCTGGCTTCCTGCAGCTCAGCCGGGAGGACCAGATCGCCCTGCTGAAGACCTCTACAATCGAGGTGGCTATAGAGGTGGAGGGAAGGAGAGGCACCGGAGAGGGCTGGAGGGCATCCAGACGTCTGGCCGGGAGAGGTGTCACTGGGATGCAGGGATAGGGGACCCAAGCAGCCCTTGAGGACCGTGCACCTAGACCACCCCTCCTTGCCCCGTGCAGGTGATGCTTCTGGAAACATCCCGGAGGTACAACCCTGGGAGCGAGAGCATCACCTTCCTCAAGAATTTCAGTTATAACCGGGAAGACTTTGCCAAAGCAGGTAAGAGTTGAGGTCACCAAGGGCCCAGATTGGATGGACAGATGCTTTCAGTCCCGGGGCCTGCCGTGATCACAGCTGTGGGCCTAAGGGAAGGTGCCACTTGTTTTTCCCAGAGAGTGAGCTGGAGCACTGATGGGCCTCTCTCAACTGCTCCATAGACCCCTGGGGCCCTGCAGTGGGCCAGCTGTTCTTAAACTGTGTTCCAAGTAACTTGAGGAGTTCAGGGGAGCCAGAGGAATGGCCTTCATCCTTACTTTAGCTAAACAAGAAGCTCCATTTGAGTCTGCATTCTGTGTTGTGCTTCTGCATAGCGTGTTCCCTGAAGAGATCTTCAAGCTAGAAAAAAAGTTTGGAAACCACCGCAGTAAGCCTTAAGTAGTTGAAAATGAACAGGTCTTCTTCAGATGTGCTCTTTCAGGATCATGTGGGCCAGTTGCTCCCTTCTCCTTTGCAGTTGCTCATGGAACTTGAGGTGAAACAAGACAGACATCTCCAAATGAGATAGTTGTGGGATTCTGGAGTGGTTCCTTTAAGCATTGGTTCACTTTTGCTACTGGCTGTCTGATGCTCCCATGGGGCTAAGCAGAGGTTTCCTCATATCCAGCTGCTAGTAATTTTTGTGTGTGGGAGCAGGGTTGGGAAAGGTTGGAAGGTTGAGGAGTTTTGGAAGGTCTGGAACTGGGACCCAGTAGCTTAACAGCTGAGGGAATGGGTCTGTGAAAGATGGCTCATGCTGCGACTCCAGGGCCGGCAGAGCCTGGTTCATGAACCCTTCCCTGGTTTCTGGGACTCCGGCAGCTTATGTGTCTCTTGTCCCAACGTGGGCTGTGCAGTGAGCTCTTCAGGAAGACGTCTCCCTTAACTGTAGGGCAGGGCTGTGTTGGCCCCTGTTACCTTCTGCAGTGCCTGGTGTGTTGCCTGAATGTGTCGGCAGGTACGGCCAGTTCTTTTGGGCCGGGGGCATGCTGGGGATTAAACCTAGGACCTTTGCACTAAGCTACATTCCCAGCCATTTATTTTGAGACAGGGTCTCGCTGAGTATCCAGCTTTGAAGTCTAGCCAGTTCCCTATCTCTACCAAATCACCTTTTGCCCCAGTGGTGATTGTCTCGGACTTACTTCTCCTTCTTCAGAACGCCCTCCTTCCTCACCCTTCCAGCTCTGATATCTCTGTTCTCAGCACTGTGGACTTGCGCTGTCTGAATCGGCACCTATTTATAGATTTCTTTATATAGCAGTTTTGATGTCATACTGTTTGTCTTTCTCATTTAATCAATGAGGTATGGGGAAAAGGGACAGGGGCTTTTCTATTTTTATTGTTTTTTTAAAAAAAATTGTTTATTTTCTTTGGTCTTCTTTTGCTTTGTTACTTTTTCCCCTGAGGGGCTGTATTTTTTTCTGGCCTCTTTTCTGCTCTGCATCCACTGCCATCTGGTATACATAGTGGAGACTAATGAGGGGACCAATCCCCTTCCTGGGTTCATCCAGCAAGTACCAGCAGCCCCATCTAGAACCTCCTCTGAATCTTTGTAGAAAGAGGGGCTGCAGGGCACATTTGGGGGCTAAAACCTCACCACAATATGCTTTACAAAATGGATCTTGCCCAATTGAATGGATCAACACACAGTACTTGATAACCATCAGGGTGAAAGTACAGGAAATGACTAATGAAGAGGCTTCAAATGGAAACACAGTAGCAGATGGTTGCTGAAGGAACTATGAGAAAGCCTGGAGAATGGGCTTGTACAGAGACTGCCACAGAGTGGGGGCAAGTGCTCTGAGGGCATGGCTTTCTTTTTTTTTTTTTATTTGGTACTGGGCATCGAACTTGGGACCTTGCACTTGTGAGGCAGGCGCTGGAACCACTGAGCTAAATCCCCGGCCTTTGGCTTTCTGTCATGGCTTGTTGCATTTGGATCTTCTCTCTTTTTAAAAATTTAACAAACATATGGTAGGGGGCCAGGGGTTTAGCTCAGTGGTTCCAGCGCCTGCCTCACAAGCGCAAGGTCCCAAGTTCAATCCCCGGTACCAAAAAAATCAAAACCAAACAAACATATGGTAGATACCACATACACCACATAATTTATCCTAAAGACTCTGAGGTAGATACTATCCCTATCTCCATAATACGAGTGGGAAAACCAAGGCCCAGAGGGGTTTAATGACTTACAGTCACACAGCCTAGTGAACAATAGAGTCAGAACTGGCACCAGAGCCCACACCTTAGGCACCTTGCTGTATTCCCTCTGGGATATGATATATGCAATGGATCCCTTCAGAGAAGAAAGGCCATTTGCCAGCACAAGGGCTTGTCTACAAACAAAAACAGGAGATGCTTCTATTTCTCAAAATGTGGAACCCTTATGAATTATAATAGCAGGGCCGGGAATTTAGCTCAGTGGTTCTGCTGCCTGCCTCAAAAGCACAAGGACCCAAGTTTAATCCCTGGTACAAAAAAAAAAAAAAGAATTATAGCAGAATATTTTCATATAATTCTCCAGTGCTAAGTACTCTGCACGATTTAGTATTTAACCTCACAACAGTCTTATGAGATCGGTTCAGCTGTGAGGGTCAGAGAGGCTAAGAAACTTGCCCCTGCATGGCAGAGCTGTGGAGGCTGCTTATCGAGTTCCTCCTAGTTCCCCCAAGTTATGGAGCTGGAAGTTCCTGCTGCCCTGCCCACGTGCTTCAGCCTTCCTTCTGCTGTCCCAGGGCTGCAGGTGGAGTTCATCAACCCCATCTTCGAGTTCTCCAGAGCCATGAATGAGCTGCAGCTCAATGATGCCGAGTTCGCGCTGCTCATTGCCATCAGCATCTTCTCCGCAGGTGTGCAGGAGGGGCCAGCAGGAACCCAGCAAGACGCTTGTACCCAGGGGGCTGCAGGCCCTGTGAGGCATGAATTGTTGAGGTGGAGACCCTTGCTGCGCTATTTGGGAGGGGAGCAGCTGGGCTGACACATCCCTACCTAGGGGCTGTGACTGGGGTATGGAACAGAAAACCCTGGCCAGACCTGCTTCTCAACTCTGTTGGTGACCTACAGACCGACCCAACGTGCAGGACCAGCTCCAAGTAGAGAGGCTGCAACACACATACGTCGAGGCCCTGCATGCCTATGTTTCCATCCACCACCCCCATGTGAGTGTCCCGCATGTGCCTCTTCCCTCTGCTCCACACCGCTCCCTGTCACCTGATCACCCTTCCAGATGCCCTCTGCCCTTGGTCAGCTCTACAGCTCCCCTGCCCCTCTAGCAGGTGAGAGGCAGAGGCTAGACTTGGCCCGCTCCCTCCCCCAGGACCGACTCATGTTTCCACGAATGCTAATGAAACTGGTGAGCCTCCGCACACTGAGCAGCGTCCACTCGGAGCAAGTGTTCGCCCTGCGTCTGCAGGACAAAAAGCTCCCACCGCTGCTCTCTGAGATCTGGGATGTACACGAATGAAGGTCCCTCGCTGTCCGATAGAGGTGGACCCGACCAAGAAGGACAAACATTCCTGGGAACTGGGCGAAGGAGATCCTCCGTGGCATTAAAGGAGCGGGACAGGGTTGGGGGCTTTGTGGCTGCTGGGCAGTGGGGGCTGCTAAAGCAGCGCTCCACGTGAAGACCTCCCGCCCCGCTGAATGAATGGCCTGGGAGCTGCTTTGCACAAGGTTCTCCAGCGTTAGCCCTGCCCATCCTGCCTCCACCACTTCCTGTTTTTCTCCACAGGGCACCAAAAGAAATTCTCCGCTGTCACTCTGCGGGTTGGCCATAAATACCTCCGGGGTGCCAGACTGATAGGTCTGGCGTGTTGGAATAGGAAGCCTGAGATGAAGGCAGAGCGATGAATGCAAACCAATTTCTGGATGGGGGGGCGGGGGCGAAGTGAGAACAAGGAAGCCCGCGTCCTGTAGGATCCCCTGCCTCCAGACTTAGTCGAGGGAAAGTCACAAGTGACAGCCTTGGCAGCCAGAGGGGAACTCCTTTGTCTAGCCCCGTTGTGCCATGTGGATCGATGAAATGCTGAGGCTTAGGCGCCCCCTCCTCTTTAAGGATCCGGTGGTCGTGTGTGTATGTCTTAGTTTTTCCGTTGGTATCTGAAAAAGGCACAACCCGAAATATTCAGGGCCGGGTAGTCCCTACTTCCAGCCCCCAGGCCCTGTGCGTTAGGAAGAAAAGCCCCCCGAGCCAGGCGAAGCGGACCCCCTCCGTGTTGAGCCCTCAAAGGCCTGGACTCCACTTCCCAGCAGGCATCGCGGCGCAGGCCACGCCCTCTAGGGGGCCCGCCCGTGCAGGTGCTCCGGCGAAGCGCCTTCTCTCTGCTCCCCTGCCGCCCAGAATTGGTAGGCTCCAGCGGCCGGGCTGTCGACTGGGCAGCGCATGCGGCTGGGCGCCTCCAAACCGCGGGGGGGGGGGTCGAGGCGAGGTGCGAGGAGCGGGCCGGAAAGTCTCAGGGGGACTTAATCTTGAGAAGTCATTTTCGGATTAAACAATCTTTCGTCGAAATGGGCTCTATGACCGTGTCGAATTAAAATCTCTTTGCGTCACCTGGACAAAAGGTATTTCTCTGAGTCCTCCCTTGGCGTTCAGCGGCGCTGAGCTGGCCCAGCGCTCCTCACCGTGTTCCCACTCCCACACGGCTAAGGTGTGCGCAGCCGCCTTTTCGGCTCCACCTTTCGGCGCTCGGCTCGGTGCACACACACACACCCCCGGGGTGGATGGTACGGGCCTGGCCCCCTCAGGCTCCCCTCCCGCACCGGGTCCGAGTGGTACGCGCCCCCCCGGTGCAGACGCGGAACTGGCGCCCGCTGGCCGTGGCGCCGCGCGGGGGAGCGACGGGCGCCCCGCTGCCTGCCGGGGGCCGTGCGGCGGTCCGGTGGGTCCCCGAGGCGCGGGAGGTAGGTGGGTCTAGGCGTAGGGGGCCCTGGACGGGTACGGGGTACCACGGGGAGGACCCGTGCTCGGAGGGAAGAAGGGCTCGCGGAGAAAGGAGGGGGGCGTGGAGGGTCCGCGGAGGAAGGGGCGCTGCTCGGCTCGGTCTCCCAGGCCTGCTGGCGGGTAGTGCGGGTTCCGGCGGGGGGGGGGGGACTGTCCAGCAGGTGAGGAGGCGGGCAGCCAGGTCCGCCCGGCCGCAGGCGGCACAGTGCCCGAAGGGCGCGCGGGCGTGCGTGCGTGCGTGCGGCGCCTTGTTTGGGTTAGGGTATGGCGATACGGAGAACCGCGTCTGATTCTTTACGTATATATATGTATATAATTTGATGCTTCAAAACTGGTTCGAATGGAGATACCATCTCATTTTTCCTGCAACTGCTCCGCTGTCCATCCTCTTGCATCTCACCACCAACACCACCTCCTCTTCCCCCTCCCCCTCCCCTCCCCTCCCCCTCCTCCCTTTCTTCCCCAACCCTGCCCATCGCCGTCCTTATTGCTCCAGTTCTCCTCCGTGCTGGACCAGTCTGTGCTGATGAGCTTGCAAGGTCACTGCCTGGAGAGGGGGAAGAGGGACGGACACCCTCCCATGGTGCTCACGTCATCAAAAGATGTCATATCACACTCGGGTTCCTGTGGTTTTACTAGGAAGTCCTGCCCCAAAGAAGGGACGACTCCAAAGCTTTGGTTAGCATGGCCACTGTAGGCTGAAAAAAAGCGTAGATGACCCAAAGGTTTGTGGATTTGAGATGTGGATGGTGATTTGGGACTTGAGAAAGGTATGCGTTTTGAGTTTGATGCTTTGAACTATATAGAGATAGGAATTAGGGGCTGTGCATTAACTAAACGAGGGTCAAGGTTTTGGGCTGTTTGGTGTTTTTTGGGGGGGCCTGGTTGGTTTTGAAGACAGTGTGAGTTATAGGTGGTCTTAGAGGATTTAGATTCTTTGTGGGGAAGGGAAAGAGGAGAGAAGGAGAAGAAAAGTCCTCCTTATCTCTTCAGTCTGAATAATTGAAGGGAGTGGGCGGTTGATGAGATAAAAATTGTGGTTAAAAAAATATGCCATTTGTAGCCAGGACAGTCACAAGATCTCGGGGTCCTTGTAGCCGTGGAAGAAGATGAGGAATATGATATAGAATATGATAATGACTTGAGTTTTATCAGATAGTTCTCAGTGGAGAGGGGTTGGGATCCCAAGGATAGAGTGGTCCCAGTGCCTAATTTATTGGCGATAACCTTTTTTGGGGGGGGGGGTTTACTGGGGATTGAACTCAGGACCTTGTGCTTTCGAGGCAGGCAACAGAACCACCGAGCTAAATCCCCAGCCCCTAGTGCCTAATTTATTGGGAGCAGATGCTTCAGGCCCAGTTGCTGAGATTTTAGCCAGAAAGGGCTCCCAGGTCCTAAAGTGGCCCTACCTTTCAAGGTTTGGCCTAGAGCTCTGCTCCTGTAAATTGTTTTACTTTAAGATACTTTGACTTTCACTTTAGATGTTTTCCACATGATCTTTTTATGGAACAAATTATGTCTTCACCCATATCCCATCTCATTTCCCCATTTCTCTCCCTTTTTCACTCTGCTCAGCTCTATAATGGCGTCTCCCGTGGCTCTAGCAGTTGGGAGAACAGAAGGACTGTTTGGGGTCATTGAGCAAAGGCAACCCCAGAAATGAGTGAATGTGTGACATGCTCAGAAACTTGTGGTGAGATGCTGCTATCCAAAGCCAGAATGGGAACCAAGGGCAAAGTAGCAACAGATGAGAGAGAAGCAACCTAGTTTTTACCAGGCTCTGTGATGGAAGAGGTGAACCAGGTTTAGGGCCCTGCTGACTCTGGAATAGCAGCCACTAGCAGTGTGCGGTCACCAGGCAGGGGAGGGGCTGTGGCTTGGCTATATATAGTGTGGGTGCCTGAGTCACTATGGAGACAACATTGAATCCTATTACCTGCCGGTCCTCTATTGGGAGCAAGGGAAAAGAGGGAGCAGTAGGCCAAGGACACAAGAGGTGTTCCAAATAGTTCTTGTTTGGTATTAGATGGGGGGGAAAAAAAGACAGAACTTCTACTCACTATCTAAGTCAAATAGGGCCTTAAGCATACAAGGAGTGTGTGTGTAAGTATGGGAGTACACGCAGCAGTAAGTGAGGGAGTGTGTGTGTATGTGTGTGTGTCTGACCGTCTGTAAACAAGGTCTCAGTGTGGTCATTCGTGGAACTTCGAGGCAAAATTCTGGAGCTCTGAAAATAGCCCTGTAGTGGAATGAAACATTTTATTCAGAGAAATACATGTATCTGGAGACCTAACAGGAAATAATAGATAATTAATTTCATGTAGGCTTTTCCTAATTTTGGGAGTATAATTTAGAAATTCTTCTGAGCTCCTGTCCCTGTCCTTGCAGGAAATCTAGTATTGCTGTGCCTAATGCGTAAGGCCTGTCAGTTAGAGCGGGACAAGGCCTCATCTGTATATTTTGTTACTGACTCCAGTCCTGAGACCAGAATAGTGAACTGTTTGTTCAGCACCAAGGGCAGAGCTAGCAGCTGCAGCCACCCAGACCCCGCCTGAAGCGGGTGAGAAAGCAGTTGAGAGAGACAGTTGGGACACGGGCGTTCTTCATGTGACATCACATGTGCTAGGTCGTCAGCTGTTGTTATTGTCTAGGTGCAAGTAACTAGACAGTCTGTGTGGTAGTTTCTTATCCAGCTAAATGCAGATTGTCGGGACAGGTTTCATCTAGACCTAGAAGTGCAGGTAAGTGTTGGTTGAAGAGTCTGGTTTGATCCTGATCTTTCCTGGAGTAATTCTGAAAGTGACTAATTTGAATTCAGTCATGGAACCAACATGAAGTCACTTTCAGAACAGAGCCCCAAGGGCTAGGCTGGAAATGAGCTAGGTTGGTAGGGCTGGGGAGGTGAGCCACTATTCATCTTTTTAATTTTTTTTCCTGTACTGGGAATTGAACTCAAGGCTTCCCACATGCTAGGCAAGAACAACTCTACCACTGGGCTACATCCACAGCCTCTTACCCTATTTCTTTTTTTTTTCTTTTTTGTACTGGGGATCGAATCAAGGGGCTTTGCACTAAGCTATACTCCCAGCTCTTTTTAAATGTTTTATTTTTTATTATTTGTTTATTTATTTTGGTACGGGGGATCAAACTCGGGTCCTTGCACTTGGGCAGCAGGCGACAAAACCACTGAGCTAAATCCCCGGCCCCTAAATTTTTTATTTTTGAGTCAGGGTCTCAGTAAATTGCAAAGTTGCCCAGGCTGGGTTTGAACTTATGATCCTCCTGCCTTAGCCTCCTAGACTGCTGGGTTTACAAGCATGTGCCATGCCCGGCTTATCCTACTTTGTAGTATTTGACCCTGAGCTCATAAGCCTATAGTGTGGGGTCGGCAGGTATCATGTTCTCCTATCTTTAGTATGAGAGTCAAAGGCCTCTGACCTGTGCCTCAGGCGGGGATGGGTTTAGAAGGATGATTCCCTTAGGAGTAGACCCAGCCATGGATCTTATCAGTACATTTTTCCTATTAACCTTGGGTTTTCAGATAATATCAGAATTCCTCCTGGGATCGATGACTTCCTGCTTGAAGTTTCTCTGAAATGAACTGGTGAATTGGAACCATGGTGCAAAAGAAGAAGTTCTGTCCTCGGTTACTTGACTATCTCGTGATCGTAGGGGCCAGGTAACTATGAGGAGGCTGGCTGTTGCCTTGTTACCTGGGATAGTCACACACACTGCACTTACTCCCCTTCCCTGTTTCCATGTGGCTTTGTGTATCTCATCCCTCCAGTCGCCAGTCTTTTACCCAAGTGGGAACATCAAGTCCAGTAGGGGAAGCAACACCACGGGGTGGGTTCCGAGTGTGGGTCTCGACAGAGGCAGAGCAAGACTCTGCTCTTAATTAGCATCTTTGTCACTTTTTAGCAAATGTGCTTTTCGTACTTGAGTTTCCTTACAATGCAGAAAGGAAAAGTGCACCGGGCTGTCTCTACCTGCGCTCCTCGGTGCTTCCTTAGCGCCCATTTGAGGTGCTAATCAGCTGCAGGTGTTGGTGATCATTTGCCTGGCGGAACTTCCAGGGTGGGTGTCTTTGAAGCACCCGCACTTCCTGAGGCCCTCAGTTAGTTCCTTTACGCAGAAGAGCGTTTTGAGCTGGACTTGCTGACAGAGGTTACCGGCTGACAGAGGCGCGTCCCTGCAGGCCACTGACTTGTCTCTGCTGCGTCCTCAGGCACCCGAGCAGTGACAGCGTGGCCCAGACGCCAGAGCTGCTGCGGCGATACCCGCTGGAGGATCATGCCGAGTTCCCCCTGCCCCCGGATGTCGTGTTCTTCTGCCAGCCGGAGGGCTGCCTGAGCGTGCGGCAGCGGCGCATGAGCCTGCGGGACGACACCTCCTTCGTCTTCACCCTCACGGATAAGGACACCGGAGTCACACGTTATGGCATCTGCGTCAACTTCTACCGCTCCTTCCAGAAACGGATGCCTAAGGAAAAGGGCGAAGGCAGGACAGGGTCCCGAGGGAAGGAAGGGGCCCGAGCCACCGGGGCCCCGGAAGAGGATGTCCCAGAGAGCTCGGAGAGTGGCCCGTCCCTGCAGCCTCCCAGTGTCAGCCCCACCCCCGATGTGACCCAGTCCCCGAGGGCCAAGCGCCGGGCCAAGGGCGGCAGCCGGTGCCGCAATAGCACCCTGACGTCCCTGTGCGTGCTCAGCCACTACCCTTTCTTCTCCACCTTCCGCGAGTGTCTCTACACCCTCAAGCGGCTGGTGGACTGCTGCAGTGAGCGACTGCTGGGCAAGAAGCTGGGCGTCCCGCGAGGCGTCCAGAGGTAAGGCGAACCCGCATGCAGCGAGGACAGCGGAGATCTGGAGATGGGTTGGGCTGGGCTGTGAGGGGGAGGAGAGTCCCTCGGCAGCCGGTGGCCCTTCAGACCTGCGGAGCCATGTCAGCCTTGCTAAGAAAAGGGCTGCTGCAGTGTTGGGCTTCCTGTCACAGTGCTGCCTCCCCAACCCCTGCCTTTTTAAAAGTCGGGGTTTGCTAAGTTGCCTAGGCTGGCCTCAAGCTTGTGACCCTCCTGCCTCAGCCTCCTGCGTAGCTGGGATTACAGGCGTGTGCCCCTGCCCCTGGCCCACACCCACACTTTTACACTGTCCTTGCTCTTGTGTGACCCTGGTCCCCTCTGAGCTCAGAGGCTCTCCTAAGGAGACCTTTTCCCGTCATAGTTGCCACAGAGACTCCCTCTTGGGTTGCGGTTGGGTCTCGGCTCCCTCTGCCATGCGTCTGACTCCTGCTGTCTGCTCCTCAGGGACACCATGTGGCGCATCTTCACAGGCTCACTGCTGGTAGAGGAGAAGTCGAGTGCCCTTCTGCACGACCTCCGTGAGATCGAGGCCTGGATCTATCGATTACTGCGCTCCCCAGTCCCCATGTCTGGGCAGAAGCGAGTGGATGTTGAGATCCTCCCCCAGGAGCTGCAGCCATCCCTGACCTTTGCTCTTCCGGACCCCTCTCGGTTCAGCCTGGTGGACTTTCCACTGCACCTGCCCCTGGAGCTGCTGGGCGTGGATGCGTGTCTTCAGGTGCTGACCTGCATCCTGTTGGAGCACAAGGTGAGGGGCCCCAGGTGCTGCAGTGTGGCAGGGCTGGATCCTGAGCCCTTCAAGGACAGGGCTGAATCTCTTCGGTTTCTTTTCTACCTAGGCAGTAGCACAATGCCAGATAACAGCAGGTCCTCAGTCAGTGTGGGTTGGATGAAGTTACTGGTGTCACGTGGGATGTATTCAGAGAGCCTGGTGCTTAGTGGAATTACCCTCGATGATACTGATCTAGTCTCTGGAAATATCAGTTGTTCTGTTTCAGTCACTGCCCTGGGATAGGGTTCTAGGGAGGGTTACTCCACTGCTTGGGATGGCACAGGGCGGGGATGATTGTGGAAACTACCTGCTGCTACAGACTCAGTGAAACAGAAATCGAATTGTAAGCCAGGTGCAGTGGGTAATCCCAGGTACTCAGGAGGCTGCGGCAGGAGGATCACAAGTTCAAGGCCAGCCTGTGCAGTTTAGTGAGACCCTTGTGAAAACCAAATTGTAAAAAGGCTGGTGATGTAGCTCAGGGTTAGAGCTTTTGCTAACGTGCACAAGGCCCTGGGTTCAGTCCCCAGTACTGCAAAAGAGAAGTGAATGGTGGTGTTGGAAGCTGCGTTCTGGCCATCCTTACTTGGCGCTGCTGAGTGACCTTTCTGGTGTGACCTCTCTGCCTCTGCAGGTGGTGCTACAGTCCCGAGACTACAATGCACTCTCCATGTCCGTGATGGCATTTGTGGCGATGATCTACCCTCTGGAGTACATGTTTCCTGTCATCCCGCTGCTTCCCACATGCATGGCATCAGCAGAGCAGGTGCGTCTTGAGGCATCTTCTGCCTTTGTCTCCCGTCTGCCTGGGGGAGGAGACTCCGGTTCTCAGAAGTTGTAAGCCAGTACTGGTCCTCAAGCCCCTGTAACTTGTTTGCAAAATCCAAGTGCTTTGGAGTGATCTGTTTGCAGTTGACGATCATCACTAGAGACGATAGACACCTCGCAATGCTGCTGTAGGTTATGTGACACACAGAAGATGCATTGTGGTGTCTTTCCAATAGCTAAAAAAGGGCTAGGGATTTAGCTCAGTGGTTCCACCGCCTGCCTTGCAAGTGCAAGGACCGGAGTTCAATCCCCGGTACCAAAAAAAAAAAAAAATCAACCAATATCTAAAAAAGTCTGTTTTGAAACACATCCAGCCTTGAGGGTTGTGGAAAAGGCCCTGTGGTTCTGTATTTCCTTATCTAGAAGAATCCTGACTTGCTAAGTGCTCCCAGAAGGCTTGGCCTTTGTTTTTTATCCTCTCTGTCCTTCCCACAGCTGCTCTTGGCACCAACCCCGTACATCATTGGGGTCCCTGCCAGCTTCTTTCTCTACAAACTCGACTTCAAGATGCCTGATGATGTGTGGCTGGTGGATCTGGACAGCAATAGGGTGAGGTTGGGTCCAGAATGGGATTGTGTTCTAGATCCAAGCCCGTGCTGCCTGTGTTTCTGGATGATTTCTCTGGTGAGACTCACTGAAATAATTCCTTCTGATGCTGCTTCACTTTACTGGCCAGATAGGCCCTTTGTGAGTGTCCCAAGGATCCACAGGACTTAGTTTTGGTGGCATTAAGTCCTCCCCCTGCAGCCTCTGAGACGAGCAGTAGGACAATTACTTTGTGGGACCCTGGTCTGTGGTACAGATCAGAGGTGGCGAACCTTTTAGAGTTTTCAGTGATAACAAATAGTTCACTGCCGCAGGAGATCTTCTGCTGGTTCTACCGAAGAAGAGTTTCTTGTAAAAACCCTTCCAATGTGGACTTTAAAAAATTAACATTTGCAGTGTGATGCATTAAAGCTTTGGTTGAAAGTCCTGATATGTGTTCATTGTAAAACTTTAGAAAAGGAAAATAAGGGTAAAGGAGAAAATAAGATCCATAATCCTATTATCTGGTCACCAATAGCATTCAGTAATATTTCATTTAAGATATGTATGTATAGGGCCAGGGATTTAGCTTTAGTGGTTCTGCCTCCTGCCTCGCAAGCGCAAGGTCCTAAGTTCAATCCCCGGTACCAAAAAAAAAAAAAAAAAAGATACGTATGTACATTATATATGTGTGTGTGTGCATATATATATGTATATCTTGCTGGGGCATGGTGGCGCACACCTGTAATCTCAACACTCGGGAGGCTGAGGCAGGAGGATCACCATGAGTTCGAGGCCAGTCTGGCTACATAGTGAGACCCTGTCTCCAAAACAAAACAAAACATATATGTGTATCGTATGTGGTATATGTGTGTGTGCATATATGTATGTATATACATGTCTAAAATCTTCCTGTTCTTGTTATCTACCCACACATAAGTGAGGGTCCTGAGCAGTTAAGGTAAGCTCATGCCTTCTGCCTCTCTCTGGTGTAGGTGATTGCCCCCACCAATGCAGAGATGCTGCCCATCCTACCAGAGCCAGAATCGTTAGAGCTGAAGAAACATTTGAAGCAGGTAGGTGAAGCCAGGGGAGGAGGCAGGGGAGGAGACGCTGGGGTCACTGTAGGGAGATGGTTCCTCTCAGAGCCAGTCCCCTTCCAGACCTCAAGGGCACTCCATTTTCTCTGTCTTGGATGGGCATAAGAGGTGTATGCACTCTGACTTGGTGTAGCAGGGGGAACCTCAAAGATTCTAAGGCTCCATCACCCTGGAAAACTTGTGATGCTGTATGAAAGGGCCCTTCATGTCCTGTTTGGTGTCATGTCCACTGTTCTTCATGGCCTTGCTTCTCTCCATCCCTAAAGAACCCTTTCCTCAGACCCTTTCTCTGAGTAATCCCTCATGTCTGCTTTTGTTTGTTTTATTTTTTTTTGAGACAGGGTCTCGCTGTGTAGCTCAGGCTGGCCTTGAACTCACCATATAGCCCAGGCTGGCCTGGAACTCACAGCGATCCTCCCGCCTCAGCCTCCTGAGTGCTTGGGCTACAGCCATGCACCACCACACCTGGCTTCCCTCACATCTGCTTTTTCATTGATTGCTTTTCTTGTGTTTTTTTTTTTAGTTAATTTTATTGGTACATTTTAGGTATACAATATAATGACATTGCTTTTCTTCTTTTTTTGAGATTTCAATTTCATTATTTATTTTTCAGTTTTCTTCTTGATAACATTGAGGATAATAGCTACGTCTCTCTCATGTGAGAAGACATTTTAAAAAAAATTACATAGCCTGGGCCGGGGATTTAGCTCAGTGGTTTCACCACCTGCTGCGCAAGCGCAAGGACCTCAGTTCAATCCCTGGTACCAAAAAATAAAAAAATAAAAATAAAATTAAAAATTACATAGCCCAATCTCAAGTATACTATTATGGCTGTTGTGCATTGTGTAAGTTTTTCTGCTTATACTTTAACTTTTCTTTTAATTTTTAGTTTTATTGTACATGTTTGCAGTACCTAATGATTGCATTCCTCGTGGGGAGTTGGGAACTTGTACATTACACATCCTAATCCTTTTTATGTCCCCTTCCCCTCTCCCCACCACTTTTCTTCTTCTGCATGCTGAACACAGTACCTGAAGGTAAAGCGGGGCCAGGCTCCATTCCCTGTCCTGTCCTAGGGCCGCAATAGACAGGAATCCTCTCGCTTGAAGGGTCTTTCAAGTTGTGTGTGCGTGTTGTGCAAAGCCTCCTGTAGTCCCTTAGCAGCCTGAATGGACACAGGTCATTCCATGTCGCCCCTCTCACCCTCTCCTGCTTCGTCCCTACTGCTGTGATGTAACATCTTGTGCTGCAGAGTCTGGCACGGTGGCAGGCTCAGAAAGTTCTCTCACCGTCTTCACTTGCTGTGTCCTCATTCCTGGTGGTTGCTGAAGTACAACTAATGAGATGGCCAGGCTGATCTGAAACGATGCCAATTCGTTACCCTAAATATTTGTAGGCGCTAAGATCTGACGCCTGCTTCTCAAAGTCCATGGACCAGGCGCGTTGTCCTCACCTGGGCCTGTTGAAAACACACATGGAGTCAGAACCTCCATTTGGGTAACGCCATGGTGACCCCTGTGCGCCCTCACCTTTGAGAAGCACCGCTGGGCTGCACCAGTGGTTTCCGTGCTGCCCCTCGGAGCCTGTTAGGGGCATATTTAATTTGTGAGCACCGAGTACACGAGGCTCCCATCCTTTCTGACCTGAGAAGCTGTTTTTACATCACAGTTAATTATTTTCTCATATAGATTTCAATGTAGAAAACACTTGGTGACCAAAATAAATTGGAAACTCTGGTTCCAGACTTCAGGTTTGAACAGGTTACCCTGAGCTAGATTGGCTTAAACATGAAGAGCTGTGTATTTAGACTGTTTTCTGTAGGCTAGAATATTTGCATTCTTTTTTTTTTTCAAAGATGCAGGCTCTGAAATGGATTAGCCATGGCTTGCAAGTGAGCACTGTTCTTTGCTGAGAACTTTCTGATTAGAGAGCGCGATGTAGAAGACTTTAGAAGGCTTCCACCTGGGACTGCAGATTGGTTCTCTAACCCGGGAATCTGCCTTAGCGAAGGGGTTTCTTGTCCTGCAGGCCCTAGCCAGCATGAGTCTCAACACCCAGCCCATCCTCAACCTAGAGAAGTTCCACGAGGGCCAGGAGATCCCACTTCTCTTGGGAAGGCCGTCTTCTGACCTGCAGTCCACGCCATCCACTGAATTCAACCCGCTCATCTACGGCAATGACGTGGATTCAGTGGACGTCGCCACCAGGTGAGACCGAGTGAGTGACACAATCCCAGCTTCCTGGGTTGGTTTCCTTGCTGTCTTGACCATAGGGCAGACTTTCCCAGAGCCACATTTGCTTCATGTATAAAATGTGTATGATGTTTGATTACCTTTTCCGCCTTGGTGAGAGCGAAGAAAGCAGTTCACAAAGCCCTCGGGAGGGGGAGGACGTGAATGGCTGGCTGTCTCAGATGCGGAAGCCTGTGCACTGGGCAGTGGTCTGATGCCCTCGGTGCATGGTTTCGTCTTCCGAAGCACATGGGTCTCTGTCATCTCCCCTCCCCTCTTCCACAGAGTGGCCATGGTGCGCTTCTTCAACTCCGCCAACGTGCTGCAGGGCTTCCAGATGCACACGCGCACCTTGCGGCTCTTCCCTCGGCCTGTGGTGGCCTTCCAAGCCGGCTCGTTTCTAGCCTCACGTCCCCGACAGACTCCCTTTGCCGAGAAACTGGCCAGGACTCAGGCCGTAGAATACTTTGGAGAGTGGATCCTCAACCCCACCAACTATGCCTTCCAGCGAATCCACAACAGTGAGTCCCTTGCCCTCTGGTGGCCCTACCTGGTGGCCTGTCCTTTGCTTGTTCCCTTGCTAATCCTTGACCTGCCCCTTCCATTCCTGTTTTGCTGTAGGCTTTTCCCTACTCTTTTCCAGTACTGAGGACTGAACTCAGGGCCTTTGAACTGAGCCCTTTTTATTTTTGGGGGACAGCATCTTGCAAAGTCACCAAGTTGCCCAGGCTGGGTTCAAACTTGCAACCCTTCTGCCTCAGCCTCCCAGACAACTGCGATTTCAGGCCTGCACCACCACCCCTGGCTCCTACTTTTATTTTTGTGCGTTGTTTGCCTTTCTTTCCTTGCTGCTAACTAGTCCCCTTCCTCTTGGGATAGATATGTTCGACCCAGCCCTAATCGGCGACAAGCCCAAGTGGTATGCCCACCAGCTGCAGCCCATCCACTACCGAGTCTACGATGGCAACTCGCAGCTGGCCGAGGCACTGAGTGCACCGCCAGAGCGCGACTCTGACTCTGACCCCACTGACGACAGGTGAGCGTCCCTCCCTGCCCCGCTGGGCCTTCCTCAGTGCGTAGGAGACTGGATCTCACAGGAGGCGGGTGCCAGTCATTGCATTGTATTTTGATTGATTGTCTTGGCTTTCTGATACTCTGTGCTTGCCTTACTGTTTTCCTAAATTCTAATTGCAAATTATTTTCCTGGTCCCTTTCTGGTTTCTCCCGCTCCTCCTCCCTTGTGCTCTTGACTTGGTAGTGGCAGTGATAGTATGGATTATGATGACTCAAGCTCTTCATACTCCTCCCTCGGTGACTTCGTCAGTGAGATGATGAAATGTGACATCAATGGCGATACTCCCAGTAAGTGCGCCTGGGGACCTCAGCCGGTGCTAGGCAGGGCTTGGGGGCGAGGCCATCTTACCTCTGTCCCTTGGGTTCTAGCAGATGTGGACCCTCTGACGCACGCAGCGCTGGGAGATGCCAGCGAGGTGGCAATCGATGAGCTGCAGAACCAGAAGGAAGTGGAGGAGCCTGGCCCCGATGGCGAGAACTCTCAGGAAAACCCTGCCCTGCGCTCCAGCTCCAGCACTACTACCAGCAGCAGCCCCGGCACCGTCATCCATGGAGCCAACCCCGTACGGAGGGCTTGGCAGGGCGAGGGCCAGACAGCAGCGGTGGGGTGTGGGCCTTGGGTCTGTGCGGCAGGCATGCTGTGGCCATGCATGAGCCTTCATGCCCTTCCCATCTCTTCCCATAGGCCTCAGGCTCAGAGCCTTTCAGATATAGTTTTGACCCCAGGAGATCACAGGGCTTTTTTGTGGGTACAGCCAAGATCCCTTGTGTGTAATTTGTGGAGACACAGAACGTGCCAGAAATGTTTTTTGCCCACATATACCACAGGGTAGGATCTGACAGGCGCGGCACTGCCCTGCCCAACCGGGAACATGGGAAGGCACCCTGGGAAGCAGGTGACCAGTTTTTGTCGAATGTGGCCCTTAGGAACCTGCTGACTCTGAGGAGATGGATGACGAGGCAGCCGTCAGTGTCCCCAAGCCCCTGTCTCCCAGGCCTCCCAGCCTCGGCAGAGCAAGCTCGGACCGGCGGCAGCCAGAGGCTGGAGAGGGGTCAGTGTGCCGGCGAGCCTGTGACAGCCCCTACTCGGAGCCCCAGTATGGCCTTCCCCCTGAGGAGGAGGAGGAGGAGCAGGGGGAATGGTACACTCCCTGCTTCAGCCAGCATGTGGATGGCAGTCGGTGAGAGCAGGGGCCCTCCTCCCTGGGGGATGAAGGACCTCTCAGCCCTGGACCCCAGGCAAGGGTTAAGCAGAACGTCAGACGAGTCCAAACATCCTCGAAGTCCTGCCATCCCCAGGCTGGTGCTTGATCCGGGGCTCAGGCATCCTGGGGAGGGAGCCACAACTACATTGTAACCTGAGGCCCAGCTCCCAAGGTTAGGTCCCCCGCCTGGGCTCATAGGTGCCACTGTGCATTCAAGGGCTCAAAAGCTGCTGCGGCCCAACAGCTTGAAACTGGCGAGTGACTCGGACGCAGAGTCAGACTCCCGCGCGAGCTCCCCCACCTCCACCGTCTCCAACACCAGCACCGAGGGCTTCGGGGGCATCATGTCGTTCGCCAGTAAGTACCCGAGCCCAGGCAGCCCTCCCGTGTTCCATCTGAGATGTGGGGCTGGGCTGGCATCATCAAGCCCCAATTCGGCCCATTTGGGTGATACTGCAAAAGGAGTTTTACATGGGGTCACTGAAGGACACAGATCTGTCACTCGATGTTGTATCTGGAGGTTTTGTCTATTTCAGGGAAGACAGCTGAGCAAGCCATTGAAATGAGCATTAAATTCAGAATCACTACTTTACAGAAATATTCCGGTCAGATTTGCTTTAGGTTTATATCTGATATACCTTTTGCCTACTGAGGGACTTCCATGACCATTCCTTGAACTCTGCGTAAGGTTGATTTTTGTGCTTAGAGAATATCCCCAGCAGTGAGAACTGGTGTCTCTTTAAGTATGGATAGGTGGAGAGTAGAGAGAGCCATCGTGGGAGATAATGTAACTGACTGTGGGCCTTTTCAGAAGCCAGGGAGGGACAGAAGCCACTTCAGACCAGAAGCATGTTAACTGCAGCGTTCAGGCTGTGTGAGCAGAGGGTGAGGACGTTATTACAGAAGGTGGCTAGGGGAGATTGTCACAGGGTTTCGAGCACCCCTGGCACTGATGCCTTTGTCTGCCCTGTGTCAGCCTCGATCCCTTCTAAGAGCAGTGACTCTCTGGCCCAGCTCGCTCTTGGACAGAAGGGAGGTGAAAATCAAACCAGGCCCAAGCATAGATGTTTTGATTTCCTCACTGAACTGTTGCCCTTGTGCCCTCTCCTCTGCAGGCAGCCTGTACCGGAACCACAGTACCAGTTTCAGCCTTTCAAACCTCACGCTGCCCACCAAAGGTGCCCGAGAGAAGACCACACCATTCCCCAGTCTGAAAGGTAACGACCACCTTCCTTGTGCCAGACCAGGTTTTCCTGCAAGAATGTCAGGCCTACCACGCTTGTCAGGAGCCCTGGACCAGGGCTGTTGCCCCTCATTCGCTTTTCATGGCTTTCACTGCACATCACAGGTGCTTGATGGTTGTCAGGTAGAAGCCATCTGTGAAGATGGAGAAGGCCCTACTCTGTCATTTAGGTTCATGGCAACTGTGGCATCACTGCTGCTTCTGGGGGTGGAGAGGCCCTGGTCAAAGATCTGAGACTGACAGGGATGGTCAGCTGTCCCATCACCTGCACGTAGGATGACTCTGTCCCCAGGAGCTGCCCCCAGAGGATGATCATGGAGGGCCTGGCAGTGTTGACGGAGCTGGCCTCTTTTTCCCAGGCTGCATCCCTTCTTGGGGCCTGGGCATGGTCCGGGTGGTATTGATTGGCTTTCTGGGCCAGTTAAGACCTTAGTTCTCTTGTGACCTCTGACAGTTGGAATTGAATTTGGCTTTCATTTGTTTTCTGTGGCTATCGTGCTAAACTGTTTTGGTAGGAAGTAGAGTGAGGAGCAGCTCCGTGATTCTGTGACTGAGCCCTCACTCCCAGGGATTGAAAATGCCAGGAGTCTCTGCAGTGGGTGCTCCTGGGTGGGCAGGGAAATGTGGGCCAGGCGGGCAGAAGGACCCCAGAGTGACAGCACAGGCGACTGACGAGCTGTGCTGAGTGGATGGACCAAGGCTGGGCAGGCTAGGCAGGGAAACGTGTTGGTGCAGCTGGCTTCTCGGATCCGTCGGAAGGGACGAGCGTGAAACCTTCACTGCATGCTGATGCTTCATCCCATCTGCTGCTCCTGTCCCTCCTAGCACTTCCCATCCTCACCACCCCCACCCCACTACCCATGACAGTGTCTGCAAGGGGAGACTTTCCTGCGACACCCAGGGCCTCTGGACCCCTGTGCTAGAGGTCACCAGGTACACATGTGCTGTTGAGCACCCGAGGCTCCTTTTGTCATTTACTCCACCTTGGCTTCGAGAGGCCCCAGCCTTAAGGATGGTCTTTCTTGGAGCCCTGGCTGTCTCCAGGTCACTTGGCCTGCAGTGCCGGTGTGACCGAGAACCACGGTCACATGCACTCTTGAAGCTTTGGGAGAACTCTCAGACGCTGGACTTCCTGCTCCATCAGAGGGTGTATGGGTCACAGTATCATGGTGCACCTACTAATTGTGTATTTTGTGTCCCAGTATTTGGGCTAAATACTCTAATGGAGATTGTTACTGAAGCCGGCCCCGGGAGTGGCGAAGGTGGGTCTTGCCTGTGAGCTGTGCATGATCTCTTTTCTCCTAGCACCCTCCGTGCCTGCCTGAGGGCCATCCTCCCTGTGGAGCAAGCGGCCTCCCATGAGTGACCTGCCTTGCGGTCCCCGTGACGCCCGTGCTGCTCGAGGGGCGTGCTGTGGTGCATGTGGAGTGGCTGAGGCTCCATCCCCACCTCTTCCACTTGCCATGGCTGCTTTCTGCCTGTGTGTGATGCCCAGTGCCACCCCACCCGGGCTGCTGGCCTGGGTGTGGAACACTGCCACCCAGGGCTGTGCTGCTGTGAGCCCTGCACCGCAGTGACGTCTGTCCTTCCTGCCTTCCTCGCTACAGGCAACAGGAGGGCTTTAGTGGACCAGAAGTCGTCTGTGATTAAACATAGCCCGACAGTGAAAAGAGAGCCTCCATCTCCGCAGGGCCGGTCCAGCAATTCTAGGTAATAAATGGCAGCACCGTTGTAAGAGTTCTCAGGTGGAGTAGCTGGGTGTGATGTTGCTGTCCTCTAACCCCATGTATCTTGAGAGGCTGAGGTAGGAGAATCTCCAGTTGGAGGCTCCCCTGCACAATGTAGTCAGACCTTATCTGAAAATGAAAAATATAAAGGGCTGGGATATAAGCCAGGGGTAGAGTGGCCCTGGGGTCAGTCCCCAGGGGAAAAAGGAGGAGGTTCTCAGGTTGGACAGTAGTTACTGTACAGAATTCAAGGGCTCGCAAGATGGGGAGAGAAGCTCTCAGGAGAGGAGAGGAGAGGGTTTCCTGCCAGCCCTTCCCATTCCATTCCAGTTCCCGAGGGGCAGTCATGGCTTCTGGTGGAAATGGGGAAACTGAACTCCCTGGCCAGAGGGGACGCGGTGGCCAGGGACATCACGAGGCTTGGCTTGGCCTTCGGCCCCTGGAGGCAAACATGTGGTTGGCAGGAGGGGAGGCTTGCTGCCAGGTAGCAGAGGCCCACAGCGTGCTGTGTGCCTGCAGCGAGAACCAGCAGTTCCTGAAGGAGGTGGTGCACGGCGTGCTGGACGGCCAGGGCGTGGGCTGGCTCAACATGAAGAAGGTGCGCCGGCTGCTGGAGAGCGAGCAGCTGCGGGTCTTTGTGCTGAGCAAGCTGAGCTGCGCCACGCAGTTGGAGGATGAGGCCCGGCCGGATGTCATCCCAGATGTGGTCAGCGCGGGGCTGGGAGTGGGCGCCACCTGGGCGGAAGGGCGGGGATGCCAAAGGGAGTTCACCCACGCCAGGCCCTGGCTTGTGGTTGCAGGAGATCAGCCGGAAGGTGTACAAGGGCATGTTGGACCTGCTCAAGTGCACAGTGCTCAGCCTGGAGCAGTCCTACGCCCACGCGGGGCTGGGCGGTATGGCCAGCATCTTTGGGCTCCTGGAGATCGCGCAGACCCACTACTACAGCAAAGGTAGGGCTGCCCTGAGGCGCACGCCCGCCGGCCTCTCCCGCTCCTCTCAGCGAGCCCCGCGCCCCACCACACATGTCCTGCCAGGCTGGGGACTTTGTTTTCTAGCTGGCACGTATGGAGTGGAGGTGTCTCTGTCATGCAAAGTAAGATGTCGGCTCCACTTTCCCCACACCACTTTTATTCCACATCTTCCTATATCCTGGTTTCTTCTACCTCTTTTCCTTGTCTGTATTCCCATTCGCTACTTCTTGATTTTTTTTTTTTTTTTTGGTACGGGGGATCTCATTCTGGTCCTTGGGCTTGCGAGGCAGCGGGTGGCACCGCTGAGCTAAATCCCCAGCCCCATTCGCTACTTCTTAACCTCCTTCTGTGTTTGATTTTCCCCTCAGAGCCAGACAAGCGGAAGAGAAGCCCCACAGAGAGTGTAAATACCCCAGTTGGCAAGGACCCTGGTCTGGCTGGGCGGGGGGACCCAAAGGCTATGGCCCAGCTGAGAGTCCCCCAGCTGGGACCTCGGGCACCAAGTGCCACAGGAAAGGGTCCCAAGGAACCGGACACCAGAAGTTTAAAGGAGGAGAATTTTGTAGCATCTGTTGGTACGTATCGTTGTATTTGGTGTGCCACAGGGGTCCTAGCTCCTTAAATATCCCTTCGTCCTCTCAATCCATCCAGAATCCTGCCTTTCTCCCCCACCCATGCTTTGCTTTCTGGAGAAGGAGAGAGAGCTGTGTCCATTCCCAGTGGCATTGCTTTACACTCCTCTGTCCCTACATGGCATCTTCAGCCGCCCCCACCGACATATTAGAAGAAGAGTGGAAGTGTTGTTCAGAGGCATGTGAATCGCAGTGCAGGGAGTCCAGGCTATGCTCCTGTCCCTCTTTTCATTGATTTCTGGTTTTCTTCACATAGCAAAGAGGCCTGTGCACTCCAGGAAGCTGTGAGGAAGTTTACAGGTGCATCTCTGGCCTGTAAACCGATGATAATCTGGGTCTCTGAAGGCAGTTTTTCCTCAGCCAGGCACTGACTGCCAGGACACGGCTCCTTCATGGCGTGTGTGCAGCCCCCACGTTCCTGGTGGGTTCTGGCCTCAGAGCTAGAGCTCTCTGAGTCAGCTTTTCTCTCAGCCCTCCCTCCCCAAGCTGATTAGCTGCGTGCTCATGCTTGCGTTGTGTTTCTCCACACATGTGGGATCACCTCAGATGGGCTCCCTCCCTCCTTGGCCTGAGTCACCTAGCCCATCTGTGTCTGTGTTTTGCTAGTTCTAGGCCCCCAGGCATTCTGCTTAGCTGATATCTCTTTGTCACAACCACTAGTAGTTACCTCATGTTCTCATAAATGATGATGAGGAGCCAGTTCCCTTTTTGGGGCCCTCTACTTCTCGGGCCAGCATAACATTCTCCTGGAAGCAGGTGACACTGCTTTCCCCTGCCCTGATGGAACATTCTAGAGAGGCAGTTGCCATGCCCAGTTAAAGGTCTGGAGTTGTAGTCCTGTCTGTCCCCAACTAGAAATGTGGCATTGGGCCAAGCACTTCCTCTTGGCTTCCCTGTCTCCTCACCTGTGAGTTGAGGAGGTCCTACAAGTAAACTCTGAGGGTCCTTCCAGGAAAGGAATGGCTGCAGTTGGTATCCTCTCTGCTTTCCCCTATGAGATGCTAGTCTCGGCCATTTCTATGTTCTCTGTCGGTTCTCTCGGAAGTGGAAGTGTGCCCAGGCCACTGGCTGAGGTGGGTCTCTTGGTAAGGCAGGCGCTAGTTCTGAGGGTGAGTTGGTTCTCTGGGGAGCAGCAAGGAGGGATGCTGACTGGCTCTGTCCAGCCGGTGAGTCTGAAGCCCAGCTGATGGGGATGGTTGTCTCCCTCACCTGGAGTCTGTCGGGACTGCTGTCCCCAGCTCGTTTGGCAGAGAGCATGGTGTGCTGTGGGTTTCAGCTAATCTGTTTCAGCTGACCTGTTTCAGCTGCTCTCTCGAGCACTTGGTCTAGCCTCTTAAGGGTCAGAGCAAAGGAGCTTCCTCAAGGCCCTCCCAGGGTTTCTGCTGCTGTGTTGGGGCCTGGTTTAGAATTTGGAGTCTTTAGTTCATGAGTCAGGGAAGGCCTTGGATGTCTTGGTTCTCGAGCCCCTCACCCAGTGAAGACGTCTTCGTATCTCTTGGTTGGTAATCCTGTGCCCGAGATGGAGTCCACTTGGGTGGGTGGGTGTCCCTTCTGCCTGTCTGACCAGCCTCTGACTCTCTCCTTTTTCTCCTGCTTGCATTGCATCTGGGGTAGAATTGTGGAACAAGCACCAGGAAGTGAAAAAGCAAAAAGCTTTGGAAAAACAGAGTAAGGAACAAATGCCCCTTCCTGTCCCCAAGTCTCCCATACCTGCCAACTCCCCAGGCCCAGTTGGGGCAGTCTCCTTGCTCAGCCCCACCCCAAATTTGCTCTTGGGGGGTATTTGGCCTGAAAGCAGGTAGGTGGTGTGTGACTTCTAGGCATCCGGCTTGTAGGCTGCTTCCTGCCCCGCCCCACAGCACACAGGGTGTCTCTGGAGAAACCTGGACCTTGCTGGGAGAGGCTTTGCTGATCACAGTGCCCCCCATTGGCTGATGGCTCCCCACTGCCAGGAGGCCTGTGGGCACAGTTGGCAGAGATGGTTGCTGTCCCTCCGTGTTGAGTCTGTAGCTGCCCACCTCTCTGGTGGCCTGCCTAGGCACGCTTTCCTGCTTCCTGTCATTCTGTCTTTCTGCCATACCACTGTGGTGGGTACGCTGAAAGGGTGGATGGTTGTTGTTTTCATCAAATGGAGCTATTGTAGGGGAGGGTGGGGCAGGTGTTTCCTTTTCTCTTTGGGCCTAGCCTTTCCTGGCTCCTTTGGATACATTTGTCTGTCTGGGAAGTGCTGACAACCAGGGGACCCTTAAGTGGCCTCCAGCTCCAGTGAGGCTCTGGCTCTGGGCGCCATGGAGTGTGGTTGGCGTTTGTGGAGCGTTTCTGTTCTAGGATGATTTGCTCAGCATCTTCAGAGTCCTCTGAGACCGGGTCTGATTTGTCCTGTTTGTTTCTTAAGGCACCTGGGGACCTCTTTGACTGGGTCTGGGGGGCTGGTCCCTGGAAAGGAGACTGCGCTGCTGCTCCACTCCCTTCTCCAGCCCGCCCCAGCCTCTGTGTGCTGAGTGACAGAGTTCTTCCCCTACTCAGGGCCAGAAGTAATCAAGCCCGCCTTTGACCTTGGTGAGACAGAGGAGAGAAAGTCCCAGATCAGTGCAGACAGCGGCGTGAGCCTGACTTCTGCTTCCCAGGTTTGTGGCGACCTTGGAGAAAATGGGCAGAATTAAGTTACCTTGATGGGCACAACTCTCTCCCAGCACTCCAGGACGCTGAGGCAGAAGAATCACAAGTTTGAGCCCAGCCTGGGCAACTTAGTGACATAATGAGCCTTGTCTAAATGAAAAATAAAAAAAGACTGGGGTTACAGCTCAGTCTGAGGGTCCTGGGTTCAATCACCAGCAGTGCAAAAATAATAAAAAAACAGGATTAAATTTGTTATCTCAGAGTGCTTTTTTTTGGTACTGAGGATTGAACTCGGGTCCTTGTGCTTGCTCAGCAGGCAGTGAAACCACTGAGCTAAATCCCCTGGCCTCAGAATGCTTTTTTAAAAATGGGCTGAGGGGGCTGGGGATTTAGCTCAGTAGTTCTGCCACCTGCCTTGAAAGTGCAAGGACCTGAGTTTGATCCCCGGTACCAAAAAAAAAAAAATGGTCAGAGGGCTGGGGATTTAGCTCAGTGGCACTGCACCTGCCTCACAAGGACAAGGTCCTCAGTTCGATCCTTGGTACTGGAAAACAAAACAAAACAAAACAATGGGTTGAGGGTTGAACCCAGGGCTTTACATATGCTAGGCAAGTGCTCTACTGCTGAGCCACACTTCCAGCCCTCAGATTTTCTTTTTTTTTTGGTTTGGTTTTTTTGAGACAGGGTCTCACTATGTAGTAACTCACTTTGTAGCCCAGGCTGGCCTCAAACTCATAATGATCTTCGTGCCTCAGCCTCCCAGTGTGTGCACCACCACACCTAGCTTCAGAATACTCCTTAAATTAAAAAGAAACAGGGCTGGGGATTTAGCTCAGTGGTTCCACCGCCTGCCTCGAAAGCACAAGGACCCGAGTTTGATCCCCAGTACCAAAAAAAGACAAAGTGAAAGAGCAGCTTCAGAACAACAGGCCAGGAGAATAGTTCTGTGGTAGAGTGCTTCCCTCAATATTCAAGGCCCTGGGTTCAATCCCCAGTACCATAAGAAAAAAAAAGAAAAGAAAAAGAAAGGAAACATAGCAACATGAATATCCAGTAATGAAGGAATGATTAGATACACGCCATAGATCCATGTAATACAATATTAGTGTCCATTAAAGGTTGTGTTTGCAAAAACTTAGTGACATGGGAAGATGTTTATAAACCTGTGTGCACTATGATTCCAGTTTTATTTTTAAGTTGTAGTTAGAGAAGACCGAAAAGAGATATGCTAAAAACAGTAGTTAGTGTGGGTGGTAGATTTATGGCTTTTTCTTATGTCCTCATTCTTTCTTGTGTTTTTGACAGTGAGCACATATTTGTTTCATGTGTCTTCTTTTTTCCGCTATGTGAGTCACGCCATTTCCTGTTGAGGAAAGGCGCACAGGGCTCACGTGGCTGGACCGTAGCAGAAGAGTGGGCGTGGAAGGAGGACGGAGGGCAGCCAGGAACTGGGGACCCCTCCTGACTGTGTCTGTGCCCCGTCTTCTTGCAGAGGACTGATGGAGACTCTGTCGTCGGCATGAGTCCGGCTGTCCTGATCCGCAGCTCAAGTCAGGATTCTGAAGTCAGCACCGCGGTAGGGGGCACCACACTGGCATCTGGTGGGCAGGGGCGGCCCCCACGGAAGGGGCTCCTTTCTCTCCGAGGCCATCGTTGGCCTCAGCCCGGCTGGTGCTGGTGGAGATTCGGCCTGTCACGGGCCTCTCCCGGCTCAGAGAGAAGGCACTCTGAGGCGTGCTCTGACAGGCCGCACTGGGAGCAGAGACCTCCCTTGCCTGGGAGCCGCCCTCACCGCTGTCCCTTTCCAGGTGAGTAATAGCTCTGGAGAGACCCTCGGAGCAGACAGCGACCTGAGCAGCAACGCAGGTGATGGACCAGGTGGCGAGGGCAGTGCCCACCTGGCCAGTTCTCGGGCCACTTTGTCTGATAGTGAGATTGAGACCAACTCTGCCACAAGCTCCATCTTTGTAAGCTTTATTTACCGACACAAGAAGACTTTTTCTTTAATAGGGGAGGGAATGGGGCAGGGATTTAGCTCAGTGGTTTCGCCACCTGCTGCGCAAGCGCAAGGACCCGAGTTCAATCCCCGGTACCAGGAAAAAAAAAAAAAATAGGGGAGGGAAGTGGGTTAGAGAAGAATGAAGGTTAAGAGACAACGAGAAGGAAGAGATGGGGCCAGGGATACAGCTCCATGGTAGAACGCTTGCCTTGCGTGTGGAGGGCCCCAGTTCCACCTTAGCCCTACAAGAAAATAAAATAGACCAAATGATGATGGAAGGCGTGGATAACCTTTATGTACTATACTGTAAGGAAAATGTTGTGTAAGGCTTTTTTCACAGTCGTTTGGCTCCATGATCTCCTGAATTGTGGTTAATGAGGGGCCTGTCCCGTGGAGCAGGGCATCCAGTCCCACAGCATAATCCGGTGGTAGCTTTGCAGGCCAGGTGAAGCTCTCACCAGGTGCCAGGCTGCCTGTAACAAAGGCCTAGTTGAGTCCTCATCTAGTCAGTGCTCTGTCTGTATAGTGCATGAAAATAGCATCTCCCTGTAACATGTTTCTACCAGCTACTTGACGTTTTTACCTAGGAAGTGATATACAAGTTCCAGATTCTGTCCCAAAGGAACGAGGTGACTCAGGCCTGCTTCCACTCATGGGATGTTGCTCTGAATGGTTTTTTCTGAGAGGTGAGGGATCAAAGCCTTAGGGAATGAAAGCATTTTCAGCAGCCCAATGCGCCCTTGGCCGCTGTGGTGAAATGGAGCGCTGCAGCCCTGGCCTTGGGCACGCAGCTGTGCAGGGATCGTGTGCCCATGCGGCTGCGCTGAGGCTCTTCGTTAGCAGAGAGAACAATGGGTTTTCGCTACCAGAACTTATCTTTGCTCTGTGAGGAGAGTAGAAGATAAAATTTGAATGAAATCTGTTACTTAACACTGGTGACCAGAACCTTCTGTACATACCTTTCTTCTAATAGAGGCTGGGACAGGATTGAGGGTCAGAGTGGCTCACTTTAGTGGGCCAAGACCCTGCGCCTGCACAGCTGTTCCAGTCTGAGTATTTCAGTCCTTCCGGCATGCTTCTGCACTGGCTATAGGGATAAGTTTCATCCAGGATCAGGTTTGCAGGAAGCTGTTCAGCTGGACCCTTCCGGGACACACTCTTACTGGTCCTGGGCAAGGGATCTTTGTACAGCTGAGCTGCTGAGAGCAGGTCCTAAATTTCATGGCTCAGAAAAGGCTATTTTAACAAATAGATTATATTGACATGGTCCAGTGAACAAAGTATTGGACACGAATTAGCTTTGCCCAGTAATCACTGGTTGGTGGCTTCTCTGCTTATTCTGGCCCACGTGTAAAAGGCCCGGTATTACAGTAGAGTACCTACCTTTTCCCTAGGCAGAACTCTGTGTGAATGAATAGAAAGTCTAATATTGCGGAGATGGCCAGTGAAGCTAGTGATACTTCTCCCTGAGAGATGGAAAGAAAGTTGAAATTAACATCTTTAATTCAATTGCCAGCCGTGTGCCAGATGCTGTTAAGTGCTTTCTGTGTATTTTCAAGTCAAACCCTTCAGGGGCTGGGGAGGTAGCTCAGTGGTGGAGTGAGTGCCTAGCATGTGTGAGGCCTGGGGTTCTATACCCAGCATTGTAGAAAAATAATTAAATAAAATTTAAAACCGAATTCCTGCCCTAGTCCTGCAAGATAGGGATTATAACCTTTCTTTTGCAGAGGAGAAAAAGGAGGCTTAGAGAAGCTAAGTTTTGGGCCACAGGTCACAAAGCTGATAAGAGGGCAGGATCTGAATCCTGTTTTCTACTGTGTCATGCTGCTGCTGAGAATTAGCTTGTGTTTTGTTTTCTTTTAAGGTAACAATGTACAGAGACTAAGGAGTGAAGATAAGTCAGGATGGAAACTAGATGGCTTGGTTGCTGAGGCAGTTGTGTCAGGCAGGATTACCAGATTGCTTTGTGGTCCAGCCTCAGAGGCAAACAGCAGGAGAAGCAGGGGACCAGGCGCGGGTGGTGCCGAGTGGCATGTGGGCTGGGCTCCTGGCGCTGAGTTCACTGTTCCTCAGCAGCTGACCTATCACCTCGTCTCCCTAGGGTAAAGCCCACAGCTTGAAGCCAAAGGAGAAGCTGGTGGGCAGCCCGGTGCGCTCTTCCGAGGATGTAAGCCAGCGAGTCTATCTCTACGAGGGACTCCTAGGTAAGATGAGGACTGGGAAGGCCTCTAGACTAGAGGAAAGCCGGGTTCAGCCAGGGGAGAGGGTGCTGCTGAGCAGTAGCTGCTTGCCTTTTGTGCTCTCTGTGCTGATGTCGGATACATCGCATTTTTCTACCCGAAGCAGTGACCTATGGGTCTAGAACAAGCAGTGGGTAGAAACTAGATGAGATTGGACTTTGGCGTTAATCAACAGCCGCTGTCTTTCTGTCTTCCTTTCTTACCTTTCTTGCTACCGTGGTCCTTCCTGCTCCAAATTGGCAGGAAGGGACAAAGGATCGATGTGGGACCAGTTAGAGGATGCTGCTATGGAGACCTTTTCTATAAGTAACCACCTCTCTGTGTGCTGTGTTCATACTGCCTTTGGGGAGGGACTGGGCCTCCCTTAGAGGCATCGGGGCTGGTGGCAGCAGTACTAGATCTGGGGTACAGAGGTTTGTGCTCTCCCTGGAATTTGGAATGACTCCCTTTTATCTGGAGTCTACTCTGTTTTCATTCGGCAGCTCTAGTCTTTAAATGTTAAATAAGCCCCTAAAAAGAACCTTATTCTGCACAGGCAAAGAGCGTTCTACTTTATGGGACCAAATGCAGTTCTGGGAAGATGCGTTCTTAGATGCTGTGATGTTGGAGAGAGAAGGCATGGGGATGGACCAGGGTCCCCAGGAAATGATCGACAGGTACGGGGCTTGGGACACTTATGCAGACTCTACCTCCTTCCAGTTGGTTCTGTGGCTCCCGCGCCAGGGCCGACTTGTGCCTGGTCTTTCGCTTAGGTACCTGTCCCTGGGAGACCATGACCGGAAACGCCTGGAGGACGATGAGGATCGCCTGCTGGCCACACTCTTGCACAACCTCATCTCCTACATGCTGCTGATGAAGGTAGCTCTGGCTTTCCTTAGTCCAGCTGTGGCCGAGGCTGGAGGAACAGGCTTGTTCCTCCTGCCTGAGTCCTGGGCCACTTGGGAAGCTGTCGAGGTACGCTACTGGGCTCTCTTCCTGATTCAAAGTCTAAGGCTCTGTTGGCCCACACAAGAGCCTTTTAACTATGGTTGCCAGGCTGTTTTGGGTTATGAAAGTTGAAAAGTAAATGACCATTCCATACTGTTTATTTATTTTTCATTTTATATGGGCTTTCTTTGCCGAGTAGTTTTAGAAGTCAGCAGAGCTCCCCATAGAATCCTAAGAATTATTGTTGTTATTATTTTTTACAGTAGTAGATCCTAAAACCCTAGAACATTTGCTCGGAATTTACTTTTCAGTACCAGCGCTTTATCATATAGGATTTCCTGTAAGAAGAGCTCCCCATTACCAAAGTAATGGTGAGGTCTAGCGTGATGTGGTTACACTTGGGTTGGTTATAGCTGTGGAAGAAGTATGTTGCCAAATAGAAGAGTCTTAGTCTGAAAGGCAGACGTCGTTCAGGAGTGGTGAGTAGAAGGGAGTTGTTTCGAAGCCAGCGGCTGTGGCCCAGGCCTGTAATCCCAGCACTTGCAGGCTGAGGCAGGAGGATCACAAGTTTGAGTCCTATCGCTTCTCGGCCTTTTGGCTAAGATCAAGTGAAGTTTGGGTCCTGCCTAGGCAGCTTAGTGAGACCCTGTCTCAAAATAAAAAATAAAAAAGGACTGGGGATGGAACTCAGTGGTAGAGCACCCCTGGGTTCAGTCTCCCAGTATCATTAAAAAACAGGGTCGGGGGGAGAGTGCTGTTTTGAGGAGCCTGAGTTTCTCCTGCTGTTCTCCCAGCCTCCCCAAGTGTGGAGGCATCGCTTAAACTCACAGGAGGCCCTGCAGGCCTTCTTGGTTTGCTCCATTTTCTGTTCGCTGTGCCATGTTCCTGTAGCACTGCTTGACTGGCTGGAGAATATAATGTCCCTTAGCCTTTGGGTGGCGCCCGGGCTGCAGTTGAGTCCCAGTGTCGCGCTCGGTCACTGTTTGTACATGGCACTCTGAGGACCCGGGACAAGTGTTGTGGTGTTGCTTGGGGTGGGGAGGAGGTGAGGACCAGCTGCTCAGGGAGCCACTTCTCAGAGCCCAGGCCACGTCCCCAGCACGCTGGCCATGTGTGCCCTTGTGACTGCTCTCCGTGTCCGGTGACATGGTCCTCCAGACCCCACTCATCCCTCCTCTTCTCTCTGTCTCCGCCGAGAAGGGAGCAGGGCCCCTATCAAGACTCTCGCTTTGGCCTTCCAGGTGAACAAGAACGACATCCGGAAGAAGGTGCGCCGCCTGATGGGGAAGTCCCACATCGGGCTCTTGTACAGCCAGCAGATCAACGAGGTGCTTGACCAGCTGGCAACCCTGGTGAGTGGAGCGGGCCCTCCCACGGGCTCCGTCCCCTGTGCAAGGCTGCTGGCTCCTGGGCTGTGTTGCCGTGTGGTCCAGGTCACCCTGGTTGTGAGAATGAGGCTTTAGCCCTTCTGTTCCACGCTGGGACCCTGTATTAAAACTGTCCTAAAAAAAAAAATGGGCCCAGAATGTAGCTCAGTGGTGCTGCTGCCTGCCTGGCAAGCGCAAGGTCCTGAGTTCGATCCCCAGAACCAAAAAAATAAAAAATAAAACTGTCCTCTCACAGCAGCTTTGCTGTGTGATCTGTCCACCCCTGAGGTGAACGTTTTTCATGATGATTCTAAAATGCCCCTTTCAACAGCCCGACGTTTGCACCAGTGCTGCCAGAGCAGTGGTGTGTAGCCTCCTGGCCCAGCCTCGCCTCATGAGGCCTCAGTGTAAAACAGCACCAGCTTCCTTTCGAAAGTCCCAGATGAAGCAGTGAACCCCTCGCTTGTGTGAGACTCTGGTCACTCTAATACTCTGTGTAACAAAATTGGAATTATATGCAAAACAGCATTTCTGCCTCACTCCAAGTATGATGAGTGTTTTGAGGAAAAGCGATTTGAGTTGCAAGGTGTGATCCATTACCATTGTTCACGGAACACGTCATTTTTACTTGAAAGAGTGACTAACAGGCTGTGGCTGTCCAGAGTTGGGTGTTTGGCAGACATTTTCTCTGAAGTTAATAGAGTTGAGCGAGTTGTAAGGAAATACTTGACAGTATTTGTTGCCAGTGATAAGATTTAAGCCTTACAAAATGAGAATTTTGAAGATTTTCACTCTTGAAGTTTTGTAATATTTTTAAACTTTTCTAATGACTTGGTGATGATATCAGTGAATGGGATTTTTTTTAACATTGTATAAGATAACATCAACGTTTGGAAGAGTTTTTCAAATACAGTGATGCTGTAAATTCAAGTATGAATAAAGATCTGCTTAAAATGTAAAATAGAGCTAGGGATTTAGCTCAGTGGTTCTGGTGCCTGCTTTGAAAGCGCAAGGTCCCAAGTTCAATCCCCGGGACCAAAAAAAAAAAAAATGTAAAATAGGGCCAGGGATGTAGCTCAGTGGCGCTGCGCCTGTCTGGCAACCACAAGGTCCTGAGTTCGATCCCCAGTACCAAAAAATAAAAAGTAAAATACACAGATGGTTTTAATGTAACAGTAACAAATATTCACTGATTTGTTTTTAGATGCCACCTTACAACTAATTTTAAGATTAATGCTACTTTTTGGGTATTGATATAGTGGCAAAGAAGAATATGCATTTTATCTGAAAAGGCTGTAAAATCTTCTGCTTTCCAAATGCCTATCTGTAGAGTCAGATTTTCTTCCTACCTTAACCAAACCAACAGATTGTACCAAATTGAATGCAAAAACAGGTGAGAAAGCAGCTGTTTTCTACAAAGCCAAACATTAGAATATTGCACTTTTCATTTTTTGTTGATAGGAGAAAATATATTTTATAAAAGTATGTTACTTATATTACTATGTAATAGTTAATGTTATTATTTAAAAATGAATCACTAGCCATGTTTAAAATTCTTACTTTTGATTTTAGTATAGTAAGTATAAATACAACTCCATAAACAAAATCTCTTCGGGATCCTCAGTAATGTTTACGGAGCACAGGGATCCTGAGACCAAAAAGTCCTTAAACACTTACTTCCCCTGTGGCCTGTGGCCAGTGGCCAGCAGATGAGGGTCTGATGCTGATTTCATTGCTGAACTGGGGATTTGGGGCCCAGAGCCAAACGAAGGAGGGATTTATAAATGTGCCTAAAAATCTCTCTGCTCAGAATGGACGTGATCTCTCTATCTGGGCCAGCGGCAGCCGGCACATGAAGAAGCAGACGTTTGTGGTCCATGCGGGGACAGACACCAACGGAGATATCTTTTTCATGGAGGTAGGTGCTGGCTCTTTCAAAGGAATATTTGAAAGACAGGAGGAACTCCTAGAGTTGATGCCAAAGTAGTTTTCCCATCGATCTTGTTCTTCATCGTGATCATTTGTCCTTGTCAGGTTACACGATGACTGTAACAGACGATTCCCACCGTTCCTTTCTTGTGTGCACTGAGTAGGTGACACTCACTGCCCACCGGCCAGAGTGACAGGAAGTGGTGTGCGTTAGGAGGTGCTGCCCTCACCGCTCCCCTTCCAGTTTCCTCTCACCTTCCCCTTCCACTTTTACTGGTTTCCTTTGCACCTTCCAGTGGATTTTTATGCAAACAGTAAATTAGGAAAATGAGTCCTGGTTTTTCCCCTTTCTTACGGAAAGCTAGCACATTGTATGTACTGATCCATACTTTGTTTTTTTCATTACACATTATCCTCATGATCCTCTGTAACAAACAAAAACAAGTTTTCTCCTTTCGTGTGGCTACACATACTCCACCGTGAGCTGTGCCTCATTGATTTAGCCAGTCAGCACACACGAGTCCTTCCTGAGTGTTGGTCACAGGGCTCCACGAACGGCTCTTGGTAATTTCCTGCGTGCACAAGTATGCGGTGGTGAGAATCCCCGGAAGGGGCTAGTGGGCCACAGGGACAGCGCAAGTGAAGCTTCACCTGGTAACCCTGCCCCCAGTGCCCTTGCTTTGTTGAAGAAATCGGCTCCTCCGTCCTGAGGAGCATCCCACGTCCTAGACTGTCCTGCTCACTGTACCTCCTTGGTGTCCTTGACACGTTTCCCTGTTGCTTGTATTTCTTACAAACTAGTAGATCAATTGGGAGGATTGGTTGGTTTCAGATTCAACAGCAAGGCAAGAATGCTTCTAATAGGGGCCGGGGATTTAGCTCAGTGGTTTCGCCACCTGCTGCGCAAGCACAAGGACCCGAGTTCGATCCCCGGTACCAAAAAAAAAACAAAAGAAGAATGCTTCCATTAGAGCAGTAAGTAGCCTGCTATCTGTCTACTTCCTGGGCCTTATAGGGCCATCTCTCTCCTGGTGGTCAATGGGCAGATCTAACCACTGTAAGGTTCCTCAGTTGTCTGTCTCTCTCTCTTTGTTTTGTTTGGCAGTACTGGAAACTAAACCCACGACCTTTATACTGAGTTAAATTTTGTAAAAAGTACTTTATTTTGGGCCAGAGATTTAACTCAGTGGTTCCGCCACCTGCCTCACAAGCGCAAGGACCCGAGTTTGATCCTCAGTACCAAAAAAAAATGTTTTTATTTCAAGACAGGGTCTTGCTAAATTGCCCAGGCTGGGCTCGAATTTGCCACCCTCCTGCCTTGGCCTCCCAGAGTGCTGGGATTACAGGCGTGCGCCACCATGCCTGTCTCCACACAGCCTTGTGAACAGGTGTTTGACCAAGCACAGGAGGGTTTCCTCTAAGAGCAGTGTATGTCTCAGGTGGCTCAACAGGGAAGCATTTTGCCTCTAGGAGGAGCCAGGATTTGGGTTGGTGTTTGTCAGAGCTGAAAACTGACTCAGGACATGTGCATCCCATAGTGTTGGCAGGTGATTCTCACACTTTTCTTTTTTCAAAAATCTCTCCGGTGGCCGGGGATTTAGCTCAGTGGTTCTGGCACCTGCCTCACAAATGCAAAGTCCTGAGTTCGATCCCTGGTACCAAAAAAAAAAGTCTCTCCAGAAGACTCCTTGAAGTGTAGAGCTCACTGTTAGAGTTTCAAACCCAGGCTAAATCTCTGCAGTGTAAGGTTGGACCCCTCCCCTCTTAGCTTCCTGCTCCTTGACACGTTGCCACGGCAACTCGAGTGTCCCTGACTTCATGTATCATGAGCATCTTTCCATCTTGTTATAATGGATCCTTAGCCGTTAGCCATTATTTGGATGTACCATAATTATTTAATGCCTGCTGCTGTTTTATTTTTTTTTAAACATTGCTTCATTGAATATCCTTCAACATATATCTTTGTACACCAACATGAGAGTGTTTTATAGGGTATATTCCTAGACGTGAAATTTCCACATCAAGCTTATATGCATTTAAAATTTTGATAGATTTAAAATTTTGGTAGATTCTGCCAAATTGCCATCCCAAACACCATACCAGTTTACACTTCTGCCATCAGCATCAACAGGTACGACATGTGGTCAGCGTTTCTCTAGCCTAGAAATCTGTGTCCCCTCCTTTACTGGTGTTCCCAAAGGCTTATGGGCAGTAGAGTCGGAGTCCATTTCCACTTGGAGAAAACCTCCTGCCCCAGAGCTCATTTCCATCTGCGACCCCTTGCTCAGAAGGCTGTGAGAACTCCGGCCATCTTTTATGTAGTATCTTAAAGCCCATAGACTTGTGCATTTGTTTCTTGTTGGCCTAATGTCTGTGGGGCGCATGCTGTGTGCCAGGCACTGTCAGGGTTGGGGATTGCAGCAGTGAGGACCAGCGACACAGTTGCTTGGCCCTTGTAGAGTGGCTGCAACGCTGGCACAGTCCGGCGATTAAACAAGAGTGGTGTGAAGGGTTAGGCTCCTTGTGAGGGGAGATGTTCCAGGTCTGGGGGCTGTGGACAGCCCCTGTGAGGGAAGAATGAGGCGATGGCTGGAGCAAGAATGGGAGAGTAGTCTGGGGATCTGCAAGGTGGAGCTGGGGGCTCCATGGATGCAGCAAGAGGGAAAGGAAGTAGGTGTGTGTCTCGTTCATTTCTGGCTTGGGCAGCTGCTTGGATGATGGTGCCCTTAACACAGTAGGGGCCCCAGAAGGAGGCTCTGGCCAGGACCAGATGATGGGTTCAGATGTGGACAAGGTGAGTTAGTGCTGGGTGCTGCACATGAGGCAGACTAGGGAGAGAGGGCTCAGTGGTGAAATTAAGAACCATCACGTACAACGCATTCTAACAAGAGTTATGTCTCTTATATCATAATTATATTGGCTTTTTTTTTTTTTTAAACAGTCTCACTATGTGGCCCAGGCTGGTCTTGAACTCGAAGTGATCCTCTTGCCTTAGGCCTTCCTAAGTGCTGGGATTACAGGCGTGCACCACCAGGCCCAGCATAATTATGCCAGGGTGCTTTCTATGTTCCTGGTTTTTTGTGTACATTAGGTTGACAGAATCTCGCTGAGGTGGGGGGCTCAAACTTGCAATTCTCTGCCTCAGCCTCCCCGAGTGCTGGGCTTACAGATGTGTGCCACCACACCCAGCTTTGCACGCACGTTCCCTCATTTAGTCCTCACAGTGACCCCATGTATTGCTGTTATGATCCTGCCTTGCACAGGAGGGAAGACGAACTTGTTCAGGGTGACACAGCTCAGGAGCAGGTAGAGCTGGAATCAATCCAGGTGCTTGGGACTGGGGCTGTAGCTCAGTGGTAGAACACTTGAACAGTTGCCTAGCATGTGTGAGGCCCTGGGTTCAATCCCCAGCACCACAGAGACCTCCAGCACACTCTGGGAGGCTGAGGCAGGAAGAATCCAAGTTCAGGTCCCACCTAGGTGACTCTTAGCCCCTGCTTCTGACCGGTGTGCCTGAGCATCCCTGTGAGAACAGCAGCCGTGAGCATAGGTAAACCCTCAAGAAGAGGAGAGGAAGAGGACTTTGCTTTTTCACTTGTATAGTCCTGTATAGAATGATTTTTATGCAGTAAGCATTGTTTTGAGTGTCACTTGTATAATTTATTAAAATGTTTTTATAGGAATAGGGCAGAGTCAGGATGAGAAAATGCCTGGGCTCCTTTGTTTCTCCTTGGTCGATTCTGCCCCAACTCCTCCTTGGCATCTGTCAGGAGAGCTGTGTCCTACACAGTTAGAAGATGGAGGCTGAGCGGACTGGCTTGGGGAGCGAGAGGGAGCCAGCTTCTTGAAGCACCAGCCCCTTCCTGTCAGGACCCCATTTCTTCCCATGCTCCTCCTGAAGGGGGGTGTCCAGCTCTTCGGTTTGCAGCTCCATCCAGGGAGACCAGGAGGACAGGGCAGGAAACCTGCCTGGGGTGCTCCCGGGATCAGTTGCCCCACTCCTGTGGGACACACGGAGTGTGGCCTGGGGCGGAGGAGGCTGGCGGAGGCTGAGCCACTGAAGTGCTTTGCACGCTCACGCAGGTGTGCGATGACTGCGTGGTGCTGCGTAGCAATATCGGGACGGTGTACGAGCGCTGGTGGTATGAGAAGCTCATCAACATGACCTACTGTCCCAAGACCAAGGTCTTATGCTTGTGGCGCAGAAATGGCTCCGAGACACAGCTCAACAAGTTCTATACTAAGAAGGTACTGGGGTCTGTGGCTTGGGGATCAGGTGGGCGTTAAAGGCCGAGTGCTGAGCCGGGCGTGGTGGCACAGGCCTGTATCTGCCCTAACACTCGGGAGGCCGAGGCAGGAGGATCGCTGTTTGAGGCCAGCCTGGGCTACATGGTGAGTTCGAGGCCAGCCTGGACTATGTGTGGTGAGACCCTGTCTCAAGAACACTAAAGAAGAAAAAAGGTCAAGTGCTGAATTTCTGGCTGGGAAGTTTAAAATTCCACAGTCCACATCTAGAGCCACGCTTTGGCCTCCAGCTGTTGCACGGGATACTTGACGCTGTCCCCAGAGCAAGGGGTGGGACCCACAGGGCAGCTCTCTCCCTCTCCCCGCAGTGCCGGGAGCTGTACTACTGTGTGAAGGACAGCATGGAGCGCGCAGCTGCCCGCCAGCAGAGCATCAAGCCCGGTGAGGATGGCGGTCCTGGAGCGGCTCCCTTCACACCGGGCCTGGCAGGTGGGCATCCTGCCTCGCCAGGGAGCTGACCCCTGCCCTCCCTGCAGGGCCTGAGCTGGGCGGCGAGTTCCCCGTGCAGGACATGAAGACTGGCGAGGGTGGCTTGCTGCAGGTCACCCTGGAAGGGATCAACCTCAAGTTCATGCACAACCAGGTAGGTACAGCGTGGCCCACTGTCCCAGTGGGGATCAGGGCCCAGGCCCCCAGGGCATCCCAGGGAGCATGAGGGCCGCAGGGAGAGCTGGACAGCTGAGGGGAGGGCACCGTGACCGTGGTGAGACACCGAGCTCCAGGCACGTGCCGCGGAGCCATGCTGGGAGCCGGGAGAGCGAGGCTCGGTGGCCGAGCCGCCGTCCGTTAGACTCACGCAGTGTGAGTGGGAGCGTCTCACGTGGCCGCCGCGCCTCTGTCATGTGTCCAGGATTGCTTTGCTTGGTGGTGTGGCCCTGATCTTGCCTGCCTGGTGCGCGTGGGTGTGCGTGTGCGCACCCATCTGTCCTGTGGAGTGTGCGTGTGTTTGCCATTTCCTTCTCCTGCTGACTCTTCCTGCTCCCCCTCCTCTCAGTGTCCCACTCTGTGCCCTGCTCAACAGGCCCTGTACCCCTTCTTTTGATGGGGGTATGGCAGGATCATCTTTGCTTCATTGCGGTTCCGCCCACGAGCTGACTCTTTCCTCTTGGTGTTCTAACGCAGTGTTACTTTTTCTCTCGTGGACATTCTTTAAGCTGATGCCCTCTGCGGCCAGCGCGTCTTCCCAGGTCCGTTCCCGGCTCTGCCTCTTCACACAAGTGCCTTTCTCCCCTGCCCCGTGCCCTGGTTCCTCTCCCGAGGTGCTGAGCCTGCCCCGTGGGACGTCCCCAGCCCTTGGCCAGGCAGCAGATAGCCAGGGCCCAGGACCCCCTGTGCCAGGCTTTCTCCCTCTGCTTGCCAGCTTAGCCCCGTCTTTCAGCATCTGCCGGGCAGGTTCGGTGTCGCAGGAGCTCTTAGTGCTTCCAGTCCAGGGCCTCTGGTGACAGCAGACCCCTCAGACCTGCGGCAGCCGGAGGAGGGGTGACCCGGGAGTTGTTCTGGGCCACAGAGCTCCGGGCCTTCGTGGGGAGAGCTTCCAACCCTGTTTCCATGCTGTGGCCTCCCCTTCCAACAGCAGCCTTTACTCCACCACCCCGGCCTGCCACCTCCAGCCTCCTGGTCGTGCCCTCGGGCTGTCCCCAGGCTGGCTGACCTCACGAGGGGAAGGCCTGGCCCAGAGGAGAGGCTGACTTCCGGCCCAACTCAGTGAGCCAGGACCTCCTGCTGCAGCTAAGCAGGCAGGGATGAGACGGGAAAGCAGATGGGAGTCAGGGTATGCTCAGATTTGAAGCTCAGCTTTATTATTTATGGGCAAATAAACTTTCTGGTCCTGTCTCCTGGGCGACACTAGGCCGCCACAGCCCAGGTGAAAGCACTAGGGACAGCATCGGGAGTCCCCAAGTCAGTGCTTAGTCAGAGGGCTGCCCTTGCTAACCCACGCACTCGGGAGGTCCAGGAGGCTGTGTCACGGAAGAGGCCGCCCACCCCTGGACAGTGAGGGGAGCTTTGCTGTGCCAGCCCTCTGCGCTGGAGGAGGATGCATGGAAGGGCCACACGGAGGGGCTGAGTCAGCCGGGGACCCCCGGGCACCGTGTCCTATGAGCGCTGCCCTGGGCAGAGGGACAGCAATCAAGTTATGGCAGCCCAGGCCAGCAGTGGGGCCTGCGGGTGGGTGCGGCCGTTGAAACTAACGCCTTCGTTTCTCTCCCATGCTTTCTCCTCCGGCCAGGAGCGGAAGGTACATGCCCTTTCTGCTGTCTTTGCTTCCTAGCGCTTTTGGTTGTGTGTGTGTGGAACCTCCATCCCCCCAGGAGCTAGGCTTCCTGTGCCGGGTGGGGCCCTAGCGGGGAGAGTAGGCTCCGACGGGCAGGAGCAGGGCCTCTGGGCCTTACCCCACCCTCCCTCCCTCCCTCTCTTGCAGGTTTTCATAGAGCTGAATCACATTAAAAAGTGCAATACAGTTCGAGGCGTCTTTGTCCTGGAGGAATTTGGTAATTACACTATTTTGCTCTTAGGTCTGGACTCACATGGCAGTAACTCAAACCTTGGAGCTCCAGAGCAGGGCTAGGGGCAGGGCGAAGAAGAGCTGCAGAGAGGAGAGGAGGAGCAGGAGCGGCAGGGAGCTCGGGAGAAGAGAGGAGGGAAGGGCACAGGAGGGTGCAGCCATGTGGGCTGAGCCCTAGAGATGGCCCAGGGCTAAGAGTCCAGGGAAAGGCCTGCGGGACCGGGCGGACATCCCAAGCCCGGCTGTGTCCGTGTGGCCGCCGCCGACCGTGGCAGCCCCCAGCCCCACCACTGCCCTGTCCCTGGCTGGCCTGTCCCAGAGGAGGGTGTGTGGGCATCCAGAGGGCCAGGGCCACAGAGGCGGAAGGGGCTGAGCCAGGCTCCCTGGCGCTGTGGCGGCACTCAGGAAGGGTCCTTGGCCCGGGCTTGGGGTGGCTGCTGTTTGTGCTTCATTCTCTTGCGCCCTCATCGCTGCTATGAAAACCTTCGTTCTCCAGCAGGTAAAATGACTCCGGCTCCCCCCAGGCCCTGCCGGGTGGGGCTCCCGCCAGCGCGCTCACACTGCCATTCACATTGCCAGTTCATCCGTGTCCTCCTCTCTCCCCCTTCCCGCCCCACCGCTGGCTCCCTGGTTCCGGGCTCTGTCCCCAGTGTGCGCCCTCCTCTCCTGCGGGGGACACTGGGGCTTTTCCGCTCAGGACACTGGGCCAGGCTTCTTGCTCTACCTTGGAGTTCACTCCCTGCTAACCCAGGTTCCCAATTCTCCATCCCAGGGTCAGAAGAAGGTGTGGCCAGCTCTCATCCTCCCTTTTCTGTCCCCCCCTCCAGGGGGACAGCACACCCCTCTCCCTGTCTTAGGAGGCCACACTGTGGCCGGCCTGGGGCCCCACTCCTTCGTCTGGCCATGCAGAGCCCCTGCATGGCGGCCCGGGGCGGCTCCTCGGCTTGTACTCTGGGCTGTGGACGTGTGTACTGCTGGTGCTCCCCGCCCTCCCCGGGTGCTGTCCTCGCCTGTGTCCTGCTTGGTGTGTCTGCTCCGGAGCCCTCTGACGCTCTCCCTCACACAGCCAGGCACGGGCTGCTCCTGCCACTCGCTCGGGGAAGGACACAGCCTCAGCCGATGGGTCTAGTGTCCTGTGGCTCCCTCGTCCAGCCTGAGGCCTCTGTGCAGGGCTGGGAGGAAGGGGAACCTCGGGCTGTGACAGGCCAAGTTCCCTCGGCTCAGCAGGGCGGGCACAGGCTAGAGGCCACTGTCTTGCCCACCGCCTCGCCTCAGGCTCCTGGACAGGGGCAGTGCCCAGGCTGCAGAAAGGCTGCACGGGGCTAGCTGAGGACTGCCCCACAGAAGCCTCCGGTGGGCTCTGTCCTGTCCCAGCCTCAGAGGCTGCAGAGGGGAAGGGGACCCTGTGCCAGGCGCTGCCGCCTGGGGAAGCATGGCACTGCTGCTCTTAGTTGTGAACTTTCTGTTTTGTCTCTTGCCTGTCCGGTTTTAGTTCCTGAAATTAAAGAAGTGGTGAGCCACAAGTACAAGACACCAATGGTGAGTGTGCCACCCAGCCCCGACTGTGCGGGGTGCCCGGGGACCTACGACAGGCAGAGGGGGGCCCATGTGGGGACCTGGTCTAGAGCAGAGTCCGAGCTGAAGCTGCAGCGCGCCTGCCTTTCACCCGCCCGGGAGAGAAGCTGCGGAGCCTCTCCTCACACCTGGACGGCCTGAGGCCTGGCCTGGGCTCCCCACCGGGCCGCACCCCCAGGCCACTCCTCTCGCTACTCCCTGTAGGCCCACGAGATCTGCTACTCTGTGCTGTGTCTCTTCTCCTACGTGGCCGCCGTCCGTAGCAGCGAGGAGGACCTCCAGACACCACCCCGGCCCGTCTCGAGCTGACCGAGAGGGACAGGCTGCCATCCGGCCCGGGGACGCCCCTCTCCCACCACTGCCGATGCAGTGGGTGGCTCCCGCCTGTGTCCTGTGAGCCCCCACGTGGCTTAGCTGGCTCCTGCTTGTCCCTGAGCGTGTCCTTGCCTCTGTCTTCAGGCTGTGGTGCTCGCTTCCCCCTTCCCTCTCTGCTTCCCCAGAGGCCAGCCTGCCGTACCCCGGGCTCGGGACAGCCTGGGTTCATGGGACCAGCGTGAGTCCCCATTGAGTGTCCTTTGACATTGTGCAGTTCTTTGGCCTTGGCCTCGTGACACTCCGGGAAGGAGCCCGGCTCTCTGTCCTCTGTGATCTGCAGTCCCTGAGATCTGTGGGCTGGGGGCCGGAAAGGAAGGCAAGCAGCTGGCAGAGTGGGGACCTCCCTGCCTCCTCCTCATGGCCCCAGCTTGCTGTGTCTGCGGCCGGAGCGCAGTCTCCCTATGGAGCGACAGGCCAGTGGTTGGGGGTGACGGAGCCCCTGGGATGCTGGCTGCTCTGAGGAGGGGTGGGACAGGGCCCATCTGAGGCCAGGTCTCCTGGTACCTGGAGACAGCCTGGTGCGGATGACTGTAAATATTTCAGCTCCACATTATTTATAGAATATGTACAGCTGCGTGAATGTGAAATAAAGGTCCTTAGTTCCCTTGGGCTCCCTGGCTGCCTTGCATTAAGCCACACCTCCTCAGCCCAGGCCTGAGTGCTCCTCGGGCCGGAAGGGAGGAAGAGAGCAAGATTGGCCCCATCCAGGCTCCTGCAGGCTGGGCCCGGTGCCTGCCTCCTCTGCCTCCCTCTCGGGCAGGTCTTTCCTTCCCGGGGTTCCTGGCCCCAGCATTGCCGGGGGTGGGGGGGGGTGGGGGGGTGTCCTGTGAACTGGCCACTAGAGGGAGCAGCGGAGCTGGCCCTTGACACTTGAGCAGGTTAATTTAGCATTGACTGGAAAAACCAAGGTCCTGGGCCACCCACTCCATTTCTATGGGTTTATAATGTCCTGAGAGGTGTCGTGAGGGGCCAGCCTCCCACAGGCTGTGGAGCCCAGGCTCAGCCAGCAGTGCTCTGACACTGAGCCGAGCTCCAAGCCACAGCCTTCCTGAGATTTCTGAGCCCCAGGAAGAGCCACCGACCCACCAGTCAGCACCGTGAGACCAGAAGGAAACTGGCCGGGGCTCCTGGGCCTCACACTGTCCTGGCTGGACAGCACTGCACTGTCCTGTAAAAAGCACGTGGGGTCGTTCACTGTGACCCAGCACCCAGTGGCTCCCAGGACTGTAACACTCCATACTGCCCGGCCCAGGGCTGTGACCCTGGGCCCAGGAGGGAGAACAGTGAACAGGGGCAGGGCCTTGCTACTGGGGATGTTTAGGGAAGTCAGGGTCTGCCCTGGGCCTCGGGGATCCTTTGGGAAGCAGAACCCCTGCTAACACCTACTCAGGTCCTCGAGCCTGTGGGTGGAACAAGCACAGACAGAAAAGTCCATCCTCTGCAGAGACCCTTTATTGCCATGAGGCACAGATGTGTGGCCGGGCAGCCTGTCCCCAACCAGCCATTCCCAGGCCCACTGAGGCCGCTGTGAAGGTCCCATCTGCAGGGCCCAGACTGCATGGTGACGTGCCACATGCCATGCGCAGTCTGTCCCCAGAACACCAGGGTGGCAAGAAGGCGGCCCCTCAGGCTCCTGGAACTCGGGCCAGCATCTGCTGGTACCTGGGACACAGGCGTCCTTGTGAGTGAACTGGGGTCTCCTGGAACCCCATCTGCAGCAGCCCAGGGGCAGCGGGTGCTGGAATACGTACTGGGCCAGCTGGGATGCCAGCCTGGTCACTGAGGCACTGTGGGAGAGAGAGGCCATGGCACGCGTGTCCTCCGGGCCTCTCGGAAGCAGGACCAGTCCCCGTCCCAGAAACCAGCGCCCAGATAGCAGGATGGCAGAGCCAAGCCTGGCACCTGCAAGGCCCTGTGTGCTCCCCCAGCCCGGCCAGCAGGCTCCTCACCTCGCACCTCCAGGCGGCACTCACACTGCGCCTCGCCCTGCAGGTTGGTGGCCCTGCAGACGTAGATGCCCCCGTCGAAGGGGCAGGGCTTTCTAATCTCCAGGGTCAGCACGCCCTGCTTGCTGAACATGCGGAAGCGGGCATCTTCCCCCAGGTCCAGGCCATTCTTGAACCAGGAAATCTTGGGCTACAGACCAAGTAAAGGGAGGAAGGGAAGGCATCTCAGGGCAGGAGCACCTGGCTGGAACCCAGGGAGAGTGGTCTTTGTCTGCTCAGCTGCCCAAGGCTGGATGCACACAGCACACAGCCAACAAATCCCCAGGTCCTGGCGGGAGCCAAGGCGGGAAGGGGACCAGCTAGGGAGGGGCCGGGGCTGGGGCCAGAAGTCCCTACCTTGGGGCTGCCCCGGACAGCGCAGCAGAGGACAGTGGTGTAGCCAGCGATGACTGAGCGGTTCGCCAGGGGCTGGGTGAAGCTTGGGGGCTCGGAGAAGTCCAGGGCCTTGTACGTGGGTGGCTCATAGGTGATGCCTGTAGGCGACAGCACTTGGTACCGAGAGGGCCACCCAGACCAGCCTCTGCTCCCTGCACCGCTCCCTGGGCTGGGGGGAGGGTACGGCACCTGGTCTGGGGATAAAGACAGGCTCCTTGGTGGCGGCGGCCTGGACGCTGGGCCCCACCATGTTATGGCTGAAGACCCGGAAGTAGTAGCCGTTGCCCACGATGAGCTCGGACACCACGCAGTGGGTGCGGTGGTAGTGCTCTAGGACGGTGAACCACTCCTGGAGGCGGAGCAAGCAGGTCTCCTGTACCTCTGTGCCCTCCTGTGGGAGCCTGACCGGCAGAGGAGGCCTGGGGGTCCCTGGGAAGGACGTGGGAGGGCATAGGGGTTCCCGCTCACCATGGTCTTCTTGTCGGCCTTCTGCACTGAGTACCCCCAGAGCTCGGTGTTGCCGTCGTCCTCAGGTGGCTTCCACTCCAGGGCCACATTGAAGCCCCAAGTTTCGGTGACCCGGAGGTGCTGGGGAGGACTCGGCTTGTCTGTGGAGACAGAGCTGGCTGGATCCCCACCCTTCCCTGGGCAAGAGCCGTGGACAGATGGGGCCCTCCCCCTACGCCCGGGCCACGCACCCACGACCTGCAGCAGCAGTGTGGCTGAGTCCTCCATGTTCTCAATGCGCACGGTCACCTGGTAGCTGCCCGAGTGCGCGCGGCGGGCGGCGCGGATGAACAGGATGGTGTCGGAGGGGCTGTTGCGGATGCTCACGTCCCCGTCGCCCAGCAGCTGCCCCTCTTTGATCCAGGTCACCTGAGGCCGGGGCTTCCCCTACAGGTGGGGACACTCAGCCCCAAGCCTGGCTGACCAAGCCTGACGCATCTTGCCACCACCAGCTGGGCACCACCTACCTGGAAAGGGATGAGGAGGTTCACGGGCTCCCCGACCTGCCTCTGGATGGCCTGGCGCAGATGCCGGGGCAGCTGGAGTCTCGGCCGCTCTGAGGGACAGAGCGGTGGCTGAGCGGGGCCTTTCCGTGCCCCAGCCGCTCCCTACACAGGCCTGGCCCTGCTCACCCACGCAACTCCAGCTGCCCAGCCCCAAAGGTTGGCGAAGGTCCTGCCTCCCAAGCCTCCCCACACCGCCTCAGGAGGCAGGGATCAGAGAGGGTAAGCAGCTTGTGAGAGGTCACACTCATGGCCAGTGTGCGGGTCTGGGCGTTCAGTCTGAAGCCCTGTGCCCTGTGTACCCACCTGGAGAACCGGGCCTTACACGCTGGATCCTTTGTTGGGACAAGGACTAGAGAGCGGGAGGGGATAGGGAGATGACCAGTGCTGTCCCCAAGAGGCCTCCGCTGGGCCCCGCGGACTGGACAGGACCTGCCAGTTGGAGCTGAGAGACTCTCGGGACAGCGTGAAGGGCACGGCCTGTCTCCCCAGGTCAGAACTGGGGACTGGCACGGAAAACCGGCGCACACCCAGCGGGGTGACCAGGGCACTCACGCAGAATCTCCTGCACCGTCACCGGCTCCTGGGTGGCCACGGGGGCCCCGGGCCCGGCCACATTGTGCGCACGCACGCGGAACCTCAGCCTGGCGCCCGTGGGCAGGTCCTTCACCAGCAGCGCCGTGCGCTCCGTCAGCCCCTGCAGGGTGGCCACCCACTCGGAGCCTGGGCAGGGGAGCGGGGGTCAGCGGAAGGCACCATGGGGTGGCCTGGGGTCCCGCCCGGCGCCGGCCACTCACAGCCCTCCCGGCAGTACTCCACGCTGTAGCCATCCAGGCCGCCCGCGCCCACGCGCTCCGGGGGGCGCCACTTGAGCGAGACGGTCGTGTCCGAGACGTCGTCCACGACCAGGTGGGATGGCTCGCCAGGGGGCCCTGGGCGGGGGACAGCGGGGAGGGTCGGAGGGAGACTGGTCCGGCCGGCAGGCGGAGGACCCAGGACCCGGCCCTTGGCTGCCCGCAGGCCACTCAGGGAGGACAAGACCCAATGTCCCCTTCCCGAGGTCTTTCAAGCACCTCCAGAAGTTTGGCTGGCCGAGCCACAGTGGCGCACGCCTGTAAACCCGGCACTATGGAGGCTGAGGCAGGAGGATCGCCAGTTCAAGACCAGCCTGGGCTACATAGTGAGTTCAAAACCAGCCTGGGCTATATAGTGAGTTCAAGGTCGCCCTGAACTACTTAGTGAGACCTTGTCTCAAAAACAAACGAAAAAGGAATAGTTGGCTGCATCAAAAGACTTGTCTCTAAAGCCGGCGAGGCGGCGCAGTCCTGTAAATCCCAGCACCTGGGAGGCGGAGACAGGAGGATGGCCCAGCTGGGGCAATTTAGCCTGACTCAAAAATTTAAAAATAAATAAATAAAAGCACTGGGGATATAGCTCAGTGTCAAGGCCTTGGGTTCGATCCCCAGCACTGCAAACACGCGCTGAGCGCCTGCGGCCCAGAGCCCCGCCCGCCGGGGCCTCACCTATGGGCATGAAGGGCCGCGAGGCGGCACTGGGCCGGGACACGCCCACCGCGTTGACGGCGTAGACGCGCATCTCGTAGGCCACGCCCTCGATCATGCGCCGCGCCTCGAGCCGCGGCTCGGGCAGCAGGTCGAAGTTGAGCCGCATCCAGCGGTAGCTCTGCTTTTTCTTGCGCTCCACGATGTAACCTGCAGGGCAGCGGCGCTCAGGCCGGGCCGCGCCGGCGCCTGCCCCCGGCCAGCCCGCTCCCCTGCCGGGACTCACCCAGCACCGGCTGCCCGCCGTCGAAGGCCGGTGGCGCCCACTGCACGGTGCAGGAGTCCTCGCCCACGTTGCTGATCTCGGGGGCCGCGGGGGCATCGGGCACGTCTGGGGGACACATCAGCCGCGCTGGGCCCGCACCCCAGGGCCCACTGCCGCGCCCAGCCCCCCGAAGCTGTCACCCCCCCACACACAGCTCTTCCCTCCGCACAGGAGCCACGGGAAATGACATTTCTGCCTCTGCCTCTGCTGCGGTGGGGTTTCTTATGGGTAGAAAAGCCCGTCCCATTCGTTACCGTTGCCCTGTGATGTTTGTTGAGTGGCTAAATGAGCACATAGGTGGGCCTTCCCTGCCCCCGTGGACCCCGGATGGCCTCACCGATGACCTTCACTGTGAGGTTGACCTGATCCTCGCCCACAGGGTTCTTCACAGTGACAGTGTAGACGCCCTCGTCTTCCCTCTCTGCCCCCTCCACGGTGAAGACGCTGCGGTCTTTGGTGGTCTCCACCCGGACCCGGCCCTCGGTCTCACACAGCAGCTGAAAGGGAGGGAGAGTTGGGGACAGGACCCATGTTGGGCCCCAGAGCCCCCTGCTGCCTCTGCAGCAGCCAGCGGACCTGAGATGCAAGGGGAGGACAGGGCAGGAGGGGACCATGGCCATGTACGAATCTAGTTCAGAATGTATCCCAGCACTCGAGAGGCTGAGGCAGGAGGGTCGACACAAGTCTGAGAGCAGCCTGGGCTACATAGCAAGACCCTATCTCAAAAAGAAAAAAAAAACCCTTCATGTGGTGCCTGCATGGGCAGGGGGCTGCCTTCCAGCTTTGTCACGGAACGTTGGGCAATCACCTATCCTCTCTGTGCCTCAGTTTCCCTGTCTGTTGAACAAGAATGCCATGACCCATGGAGCTATGGAGAGGGTCCAGCAGGACTCTGGGGGACAGGTGACAGAAGAGCCAGCCATGCCAGAGGACAGGCGGACCTGGGCAACCGCCGGAGAGTGCCAGGGAAACCTGTTCCCCTGTCAAGGTCAGCTCAAGGTGACAGAGCCAGGACGCGTCCATCCCGGGGCTGCCTCGTGATGTCTGGGTGTCACCCCTTCATTTCCTACTGCACCACGCCTGTCCCTGCCCAGAGGCGGATGCCACGGGGTGGCAGGGAGTGTCAGTGGGCAAAGGGTGGGGCCCGGCCCACTCACCTTCTTGTCAAACACCCACTCGTCGCTGTCACTGGCACCTGGGACCTCGGGGGCCTCGGGAGCTGGTGCGGCTGGGGCCTTCTTCCCCTGGGGACAGCATGGAGGGCAGGGGAGAGGAGCGGGATCTCAGGGTGGCCCTGCAGGTGGGGCCCTTGGGGCAAGCACTGTGGGGTGCAGCGTGGGAGGAAGCAGCCAGGGAGCAGTGGAGGGAGTCAGTACCTGCGACAGGGTCTTCTGCCAGATCACAGTGGGAGCTGGGTCCCCCGAGATGGGGACGTCCAGCCGCAGCTTGTTCCCGGCCACCACCACGATGGTGTCCGGTGTGTGGCCCGGGCAGTCTAGGTGGATCTTGGGAGGTTCTGCAGGCAGGGGGCTTGGGTCAGGTGAGGAGAGGGGCCAGGAGCGTGAGCAGGGGGTCACCCGGCATGGGGACACCAGGCACACATGTCCCTGGTGGTTGGTTTTTTAAAAACCCATTTCATCAAGGTACAATTTCCATACAGTAAAACACACAGGTTTGTTTTTGTTTTGAGATGGTCTTGCTATGTAGCCCAGGCTGGCCTCGAACTCAGGGCAATCTTCCTGCCTCAGCCTCCCAAATGCTGGGATCACAGGTGTGTAAATGCTGGGATCACAGGTGTGTGCCACCCTGCCCCGCTAAATGCACAGATTTGAATGGGTTTTTTGAGTTTTGACAAATGCATGCCCCTGTGCAACAACCAGACCAACCAAGATCTAGAATATTTCATTGCCCCAGGAAGTTCTCCAGAAGGTTGTAACATCCAGGTCACCTAGTGTCGCATTTCATCTCACAAACTCTGGGGAAACACCACCATTCTGCCAAAGAAATAAAGTTTCCATGACCAAGCCAGGTGCGATGGCACATGCTGTGATCTCAGCTCTCTGGGAGGCTGAGGCAGGAGAATCTCAAACTCACACCTAGCTTGGGCAGTTTAGCAACTTAGCAAAACCCTACATCAAAATAAACGTTTTTTAAAAATTACCCTGAGGCTGTAGCTCAGTGCAAAGGCCTTGGATTCAATCCCCAGTATGGGGGTGGAGGGTTCGGAGTCAAACAAATTTGGAAGCTCTGGGTTAGACAAAATCAGGACATTTTTTTTTTTTTTGGTACCGGGATCGAACTCAGATCCTTGCGGTTGCGCAGCAGGCGGCGAAACCACTGAGCTAAATCCCCGGCCCAGGACATTTCTTTATCATTGGATTTTTCAGAGCCTTTAACAGGAGGTGAATTAACAGGAAGTGAAGACAGTGTTTGGTGTTTCTCAAATTTATTTCACCTTGGGACCCTTTTTAAGTGGTTGATAATATTAAGAGAACCCAGTTTGGAAAACAGTGAGCTGGACATTTCTCCTGAAGTTAGATTTCTCCAATGTCTGACTGAAGCTTCAACTCAAACAGCACAGGCCTTGCCAAAAGAAAGGTGTAATCAAAGCCAGGCATGGTGACGCACACCTGTAATCCCAGCCCTCAGGAGGCTGAGGCAGGAGGATCCCAGTGAGTTCAAGAGCAGCCTGAACTACATAGCGATATACCCTTTCTCAAAACAAAACAAAAAACAGAAGTACAGTCATAAAACCTCACATCTGGGACACCCCTGGGCATCTCTCACCCACCATTTCAGCTTCATCACCTCAGCAGGGTTTGTGCTACCAGGACCCCACTTTACAGATGAGGAAATTGAAGCCAGAGAGACTGTGGTCACCATGGCAGGGCTGGAGCTGGGTGCTGTGTGGGGTGGGGGACATGGCTGGGGCGGGACGGGAAGGGCCCCCAAGCCCGGGACTCACCCTGTCTGGGCACGAAGTCGATCTTGACCTCTGCAAGAGAAGGGCTGCAGGTGGCACCGGGGCGGAGGCCAGGCCCAGCCACAGGGCTGCCCGCGCCCCGGCTCACCCATGAAGTGCAGTTTGGCCGACAGGTTGCAGGCGAAGCCCTCGGGGACGAAGCTGTAGTCGGCCTCGTCGGCAGGCGTGACGTCATCGATGATTAGCTTGTGGACCCTGCAGGGCCGTGGTGGCTCAGGGGACCGGGGACCCTGCCCGACCCGTCCCCTGAGGCTCTGGTGTTTTAGAAACGCCTTTTTCCTGTGCCTGCGTCCTCCAGCCAGGGAGCTGGGGTTCCTTGGCTGGGCCCTTGGACCCCGAGCCAGGGCTGGGGCCTTAATCTCTGGGAACTGAGATTAAGCGCCAGGCCAGCTGGTGCGGACAGCAGGGCTCTGGCCGCTGCCCCCCGGGCAGCTCCTCCTGGCCCCGCGGGGGAGCCCGGGCTCCTGACCCCCTGTGCCTGGCCCTCTCCTGTCCCTCTCTCTGCCCCCTGCCTCCGGGTCCCGCGTGGCCACGCTCACCGTCCAATGTGGGACACTTTAATGCGGCTGTCGGGCACCAGCGCCTTGCCGTTCTTCAGCCACACGCCGCGCACGTTCTCGTCCGAGACCTCGCACTTGAACACGGCCTGGTCACGGGCCCCCACGGCCAGGTCGGCGATTGCCTGGTAAACTTCCAGCTTCCTCTCTGCGGGCGGGCGGCACTCAGGGCGGTGGCACAGGCGCGCCCCACAGTGCGGGACAGACGCGGCCCCGTGTGTTCCTGGGGTGACCCGACCAGCCCCAGCTCCCGGCGCGGCCGCCCTCACCCTGCACGGCGAGCTCGGCCAGTGAGTGGCCCCCGCTAGTGCGCAGCGCGTAGTAGCCCGCGTCGGCCAGCGTGGCTTCGTTGATGATCAGGTGGTGCCTCCGCCCGTCCTTCTTGAACCGGTATTTGAAGGTCTCTTCCCGGGTCAGCTCCACGCCGTCCTTCAGCCTGCGGGTGGCGGCAGCGAGGACAGGACGTGGCCTCCTTCAGCAAGGCCCGGCCCCGCCCCGCCGCTCCTCCACGCACCATTTCACCTGGGCGCCCTCTTCCGACACCTCACACTCGAACTCCACGCGCTGGCCCACCGTCACCAGCTGGTCCTCCAGGGCACGCGTGACCAGCACGGGGGGCTCTGTCCAGGGAGACAGTGTGAAGCCAGCTCCTCCAGCGGCTGCCTCCTCCTCCCTGCCTCTGGGCAGGGTGATCACCCACCCCCCTTTTTTGTTTCTTTTTGGGGGGGTACCGGGGATCAAACTCGGGACCTTATGCTTCCGAAGCAGGCGGGGGAACCACTGAGCTAAATCCGCAGCCCCAGCCCCCTTTTTTGTTTGCTTTTTGAGACAGGGTCTCCCTAAGTTGCTAGTGTGCCAAATTGCTCAGGCTGGATTGGAGCTTGGGAGGCTCCTGCCTCAGCCTCCCGGGATGCCGGGATGATAAACCTGTGCCACCCGGCCTAGGGCCCCTCCCACCTTTGACGAAGAGCTCCGTGCTGCACTTCTCGCCGCCCACCACGCACTGGTAGGCCGCGTCGTCTGCCAGCGAGCACTGGGTGATGGTCAGGGTGCGCTTGGTGCCGACTGACTCAAAGATATACCTGGGCGGGCCGTGCGGGGCTCCAGTCAGGAGGCCGTGGATGCCCCCCTGGCCTGGATATCTGAGCCCCGCGGCCTCCCCCAGCCGTGCAGGAGGGGACTTACTTGCTGTGGAACAGTAGGTTCCCCATGGGAGGAAGTGACAGCAGGAGACAGGGAGAGAGCAGAGACAGGCAGGGTCAGAAGGATGGGTCTTTACTGTTATTTTATCATTTTTTGGTGGTGGGTGGGTGAGACAAATATTCACTATGCAGCCCAGGCTGCCCTCATGGCAATCCTCCTGCCTCAGCCTCCTGAATGCTGGGACTACAGGCTTGCGCCACCACACCCAGTTTAAAACGGGGCCTTGTTTTTTTTTGGTACCGAGACTCGAACTCAGGGACTCACGCTTGCCAGGCAGACCCTACATTCCCAGCCCAGGATGGGGCTTTCGACCCCACCCGGGACAGAGGTGAGGGCGGGCAGTGAGGTTGGCCTTCCCCTCGCCTGTACAGCACCTGCCACTCATCTGGATCTCCTGGCCGTTCTTGAGCCACTTGACCTCGGCGTCCGGGTCCGCCAGCTCCACGCTCAGCCGGATCTTGTGGCCCTTGCTCACCTGGTAGGCCGGCTCCAGCCGCCTCTGAAAGGCTGAGCGCCGCCCTCAGTGCCCGCCTGCCGGGGGCTCCGGCTCCGTCCGGCCTTCTGTGCGACTGTCGCGTCAGCGCCCCAGTTTTGCTCCTACTTCCCACCCCCAAAACTGCCTCCACCGCAGCCCTCAAGGCTGTTCGGGGGCAGAACCCGGCTCAGGGAGGCCGGGTGACGGCCGCAGGCGCAGAGCTGCGTGAGGCCGGAGGGAGAAGGACCGAGCCCCCGCGCCTGGCCGGCCCCCAGAGACCTGCCGGTGCCCCGTGGCCTTGGCCCGGTTCCTTCCTAACAGCCCCGTGCTTCCGTTTCCCGTCTGTGGCGGGACGTGCTCACCCCGCCCGCGTGCTCCCCTCGAGGGCCGGGTCCCCGCTGACCTGTGCTCTTCCTGTCGTCGCGCTTCAGGCCCCGCAGCCGCTTGAGCATGCCGCGCAGGTCCGTGACGCCGTGCTGGAAGGCGATGCGCTCGTACTCGGACTGCGGCGCCTGGCGCAGCATCTCCCACACGTCCTCCTCGGCCGGCGCCTCCAGCTTCGAGTCCCTGTGTCGGGCCGCGCAGACAGGCTCGCGCGGCCCGGGCGGACAGCAGCCGCCAGCGCCCTCCCTCCGGGGCCGAGCGGGGGAGGCTGGCACTCACCGCGGGGTCCGGAAGCTGCTGCTCGGGACGGGACGGGACGGGACGCAGACAGACAGGGACGATTGGAGCCCTGGGCCCGCCCAGCCTGGGGTCCCCACCCTGGGCCGCCGCTCGCTCCTCCCCACACTCGCGCCCCTACATCTAAGGGGCGCTTACGAGGCCGCGGAGGCCCCAGGCAGGAGCTGGGCGGGCACTGCCTCCCCGAGGGCCCCTAAGCACCCTCGGGGTGTGGGCTGTGAGAAGCACCCCGAGGCTCAGAGACTCCCCGCCGCTGGGCAGCCTCCGCCCTCTCACCCAGCGGATGACCCCAGTCCTTACTCTCTGGTGCGACAGCATCCGCGGTGGGCGGGAGGGTCCGGGAGGGAGACGGTCGGAGAGAGCACCGGTCAGAGGGCACTGAGCCTCTCTCGGGAGCCCCCCAGGCCCAGGAGATGCCCCTGCCTCAGCCTCCCCAGTGCTGGGGTTACAGGTGTGCACCCCTCTTGTTAAGCACGCCTTCCAGGTGCAGGGGTCTCCTCCGCCTTCGCTAAGGGGCCCGGCTCAGGGAGGCGCACAGCTGGGACTCACCTCTTCTTCAGCAGCGAGCTGAAGTCCAGGGTCCCCGCGTCCTCGTGGCTGTCGCTGTGGAGAAGGCCGGGTGAGGCGTGGGGGAGGGGCGGGCGCACGGGGCTCCCCGGGCCGAGCGCAGGGGCAGAGGTACCTGGTTCGCCGCGGTCCCCCGGCCACGCTCCTGTGGGGTCACACAGTGTCCTCACCCGGGACCTCAGCCCTGTGCCCGCGAGCCCCCGGCCCGGCCTCCCCGGTCACTCACGTGCGGCGGAAGGCGGATCGCAGGTCCACGTCCCCAGGCCCGATGGCCTCTGCGGCCAAACACGGGGCGTCAGGGGGCGCTGGGGGGCGGGCCACTGAGGCAGGACCCCGGAATGCCAAACCCTGCGCCAGGCCCCGCCGGGCCCCTCAGTCCCGGGAAGGGGGGCGGGCGTGGGGCAGGACAGGCCCCGCTCACCGTGGACGGTGAGGCTGAAGTTGCAGCTGTCGAATTTGTCCTTGGTGGACACCTCGCAGCGGTAGCCGCCCGCCGAGGACACCTGGGCGTCGGTGATGAGCAGCTCAAACAGGTAGACCTGGGGGCGGGCTAGGGTGAGATCCAGCGCCCCGAAGGAGCCGGGGTCTGCGAGCGCCCGCCAAGCTTCTACCCGGGGGATTAGTTAACGGAGCTTTCGTGTGCGTTAGGAAAAGCGTCCCCTCTCCAGACCCATGACTGCCACCTGCTGGCATGTGCCTGGAAAGACACTAATGGGGTGGCCCCGGAGCGAATGACCTGAGTTTAGGGGAGGCTGCTTTGTGCAGTGCACGACCCGCACACCTGAACATGTCGGCCCTGCCCTGAACATGACGAGACCTTTCCATGTGTTCCCCCACCTGCCGGTGTCCCTGAGTGCCCCCGGCCCCACCTTGCTGGCGCGGTCGTAGCTGTCTCGGAGCTGCAGGTGCTGGCCCACCTTGCTCCCCAGGTCCACCCACTTGCCCTTGAACCACTTGACGGTGGGCGGCTTCAGGAGGCTGTCGCCAGCCACGCGGGCTGAGAAGGTGACGCTGCCACCTGCGGGTGCGAGGGGTGACTGCGGGGCCCCTGCGGCCTCGCGCCCCCAGCCCTGGGGGCAGCGGTCCTCACTCACCCACCGTCACCTCGCCATCCTGCGGCCGCGTCACGAAGAGCCCGATAGGGTCGTCGGGGGCGGCCGAGCCCGGGCCTGGGGGCGCCTGCGTCTGCGCCTGCCCAGCCTGCTCGCCTTCCGGGCCTGGGGCGCCGCCTTCCGGCTCGGCGGGTGTGGCCGAGGCTCGGGGGGCCTCTGCCGGGCCAGGTGCAGGGGTCTCCTCCGCCTTCACTAAGGCGCCAGGGAAGTCGGGGCACAGGCTGTGCTCAGAGGCCTCACCGTCTCTGGTCCCCGGGTCCCTCTCCCGCTGTCATCTGTCCCCACTCTGTCCCGTGTGGGGCCCGGAAGGGTCCCCAGGGGGAGGGTGGGTCCCGCTTGGCGTCCATCTTCCTGCCCACCACAGCAAGCACGGGGCTGCCACAGAAGTGGGAAAGGGCGCCCGGGCCCACGCAGAGGCCCCTGTTCCCCCCGGGATGGGGACGAAGAGGAGCCTGGGCTGCCCGGCCCGAAGCTCAAACCACAGGAAAGGAAGGCGTGGTGGCTCATGCCTGTGATCCCAGCACTCAGGAGACTGAGGCAGGAGGGCTGCAGTGAGCTCCAGGCCAGCCTGGGTCACATAGTGAAACCCTGGGGGGGGGGGGACGGGACCTGCAGGAGCGGCTCTCACCTGCCTCTACGACCTTGAGGTCAAATTTGACCTTGGAGGAGCCCGCGATGACCGCGTAGGAGCCCTGGTCGGTAGGGCCCGCGTCCCGCACCGTCAGCGTGTGCCGTCGGCCCTCGGCGGCCAGGCCATGCTTGTCGCTGGCGCTGATGTCCCTGCCGTCCCGCTGCCAGCGCACTTTCACCCCTGCGCGCTCCGTCTCGGCCTCGAACACGGCGGGGCTGCCCTGGGCCACCTCCGCGGACCGCGGCTTCTTGCTGAAGGCAGAGACTGAGGGGCCACGCGGCGGAGGCTGCAGGGCCCACTTCGCCAGGGAACCCACTCCTGCAACCCCCCTTTTGCTTTTGTTTTTCTGGTTGCTTATTGTTTTGGTTTTTTAAAATTAATCTTCTTGCTACATTTTAGGTGTACAATGTAATGACATTCATCGTTGGAAATCTGCACCTTTACATGATGTATCTTGGTTATCATTTTTCCCCCTTCCCCTGCCCTCCCTTCATCCCCTCCAACCTTCTCTATTTACAGACTTTGTTTCCATTTTTTTCCTTTTCTCATATTTATTCCATTCCTTTCTTTCCTTTCCCTTATGCCTCCCACTTTCCCTTCCCCTTTGGACCTTTTCTTCCTATTTCACATTATCTATTATGCCTTTTGATCCTTATTTACACTTTCAGTTTCTCACACCAGAGAAACTATTCAACTATTCAGTATTTACACGTGTGTCCTATTTATTTCACTTAAGAGTATCGCCTCAATGTGCATCCATTTGGCTATCAAGAAATCAACCAATAACAAATGCTGACAGGGGTGTGGGGAGAAAGAAACCCTTCTCCATTGTTGGTGGGAGTGCAGACTGGTGCAACCTTTGTGGAAATCAGTATGGAGAAACCTCAAAGAACTAGGACTGGAAGTCCCATTTGACCGAGCTATTCCCCTGCTGGGGATCTTCCCCAAAGAATGAAAAGAATCATACCACAGTGATATATGTGCGCCCATGTTCATAGCAGCACAGTTTGTAATAGCTAAAGCTTGGAAACAGGCCAAATGCCCATCAACTGCGGACTGGATAAAGAAAATGTGGTGGGTTTTTTTTTTTAATAAAATGGGTACTACTCAGCTGTAAAGTCTGGCTGTTTTGTTTTATGGCAGGTTCTCACTGTGTAGTTCAGGAGATTCCCCTGCCTCAGCCTCCCAAGTGCCGGGGTGACAGGCGTGCACCTTTCTTGTTAAGCACGCCTAAGCATGTTCCTGCATCACCCCCGTCACTCTTCCCACGGCGAGGGCCTGGCCGTGTGACAGTGTGCCTTTCTCCCACAAGACGCAGTGTTGGACAGCCGGGCTGTGGCCTGACCTCCACAGAAAGTTCCACTTGTGTCCCCTGACCCCACCCCCTGCCCAGGACACCCCCCCCCAGCCCCACCCCACCCCCAGGGCCCTGGGCAGGGACGTCCCCTGCCTGATGGAATGCAGCTAAATCTGTCCTGCAAGGGCTGGGCTGCCAATCCAAAGGGCAGCGGAGATAAGGCCGGAGGGAGGGGGTGGGCCCGGGTCGAGGCCCCCAGGACCTCACAAGGACACAGGGCCAGGCAGGGCTGGGCTTTCTCCTTCTCTCCCTGAGTCACCCTGGTGTGGGCGCCCAGGGGCACTGCCGGAAGGACCCCGCCCCGCCCAAGCGCACCCCACAAAGATGGGAAAACCAAGCCAGGAGTGCTGGTGTGCGCCTATACTCCCAGCACTCAGGAGGCTGAGGCAGGGGATCACCAAAGGTCCGAGGCCAGCCTGGACAACACGGCAAGACCGTCTTCAAAAAAACAGAAAAAAAAACGGGGAAAGCACCCAAGGGCCCTGGACAAGGCTGGCTCGAACCTGGTCTGCGCTGGGCTCCTTCCTAACTGCAGAAGAAGGGTGGGGCAGGGCGGCCCCCCATGTTCTGAGAAGGGGTGGTGGCCCGGGCGCTTCCTGGCCCCTCCTGGCCCCTGCCACGGTCCCCCTCAACTCATCACAGGGATAGGGAGAGAAACAGGCTGGAAGAGACTTGCAGGACCACCTACTCCCTCCTGCACCCCTGAGCTCCCAGCCCTCTCGGGGCTCCCCTTGGCTCCCCCCAGCCACCCAACCCTCAGCTGAACTGAGATCCAGCTCAGGCCCAGAGCTACCTGGCTTCTTCATGGGCTCAGGCATCTCGAGAGAAGTCACAGCAGGCGCAGAGCAGGCCACTGAGGGGACGGGGCCCTGGGCCCACTATTTATGGTGACTGCCCCCTCCCCAACGCTGCTTATCTGCATCCTCCCCGGCTCCCTGCTAAATATAGACCACTGGAGAGCCAGGGCCCCTGGGGAGGCAGGGCCACCTCGTGCCTGCCTGGGGCAGCAGGCCATGGCGGACGGACCTCAGGGGCTCCATGTTCAAGCAATGTCCTGAGAGTGCACTGGCCCAGAAGGAGCTGACTACTCAAGGGCACCCTTGCCGGGAGGGGGTGCCACCCCAGGCTCTGGCGGTGCACAGCCTCATTTCCTCACCTGAGAACAGGCTTGGGGATAACAGCACCCACCGTAGCGGCCTATCACACGCTTGAACAAGTTTACGAATAAAAACTGTGCAGCGTGTTGTAGCGCGTGCCTGTGATCCCAGCACTCTGGGAGCCTGAGGCAGAAAGGTCACAAATTTGAGCCCAGCCTGGGGAACTTAGTGACTTAGAGAGACCCTCTCTCAAAATTTAAAAAGGGGGTGGGGATGTAGCTCAGAGTGAAGATCTTGAATTCAATCCCTAGTACTACAATAAATAAATTAGTTTTTTAAAAAAATACTAAAGGAAGGGCTGGGGATTTAGCTCAGTGGTTTTGCCGCCTCCTGCGCAAGTGCAAAGACCCAAGTTCGATCCCCGGTACCAAAAAAAACCAACCAAAAACCAAAACACTAAAGGAGAGCCCTTCGGGCGCTGCCCGGCATGCAAAGCCCGTGTCTGCCCCATGCTGCGCTGGCCTGGTGTCCTGGGTGGGGGTAAGCGGGCAGCAATGCTGGCAGCCAGCGTCACAGGATTTTGGGGACCGGGTGGGGTGTGCCTCCAAACACACCCCCAAGTAGAAGCAGAAAGAGCTGGCCTGTGTCCTCAGTCACCTCCCCAACACCTTGTCCAGACCCATCCCCTCTGCCCCAGCAGAGTCACAGACTGTTACAGAATTACCCAGAGGCCACCCCACTCCAGGGTGCATTTGTCTCCTGTCATCAGAGGGGACAGCTCCACACACAAGCATTTTCCCGATGATAAAAACTAGCCATCCTTTTAAACCTTACAATCCACCATTTCTATTTCCTTCCATTTTTAACCACGTTGCCCACTTCCAAGACTTCTTTAAAACAAGACACTGAACACCGTTTAGCATGTGCTCTCTCTCTCTCTCTCTCTCTCTCTCTCTCTCTGTTATTGTTGAACCCAGGGCCTTTGCACTGAGCTACATTCCCAGCCTTTCTGTATTTTTCACTTTGAGACAGGGTCTCACTAAATTGTTACATTGCCCAGGCTGGGCTCCACTTGAGATCCTCCTGCCTCAGCCTCCCAGTGCTGGGGTTACAGGAGTGCTGCTACATCCGCCTTTGCAGCCACTTCTTGCTACCTGGGGGAAGCTTACAGGTTTCTCTGCTCGGCCTTGTCAGCACCCCCTGCTGTGTGGGTCAGGAGCTGCAGCCTAGTGCTCAGGACCGGCTGGGCCTGGGGTATCCGCCTGCCCAGGGCCCTGCGGGGACACTTCTGGGACGTTGGGGTGTGGCTCCTGCTCCCGGGCAGGGTGAGGCCCAGACTCTTCCACATCTGGGAAACTGCCCACCTGTGTGGCCCTGGACAGCTCACAGACTGGCCTCCTGTTAGACTCATCTCAAGGCTGTCCGGTGCTAAATGACCAGAAAACCCGGCTTCGCTGTCATTACGGGGTCATATCTAACACTGGGAGTTCAGGCGTCATTGATCGGGGGTGCTGAGGGCCATATGCTGTTGTTGTTTTTCTGGTACCGGGGATTGAACTCAGGACCTTGCACTTGCAAGGCAGGCGCGGCGCCCCTGAGCAAAATTCCCGGCCCTTGTTGTTTTCCAAGAGAGGGTCTCGCTGTGTAGCCCAGGGTGACCGCGAGCTCCCAGGGATCCTCCTGCCTCAGCCTCCCGAGTGCTGGGATGAGTGCTGGGATGTCAGCTGGGATGACAGGCGGTCTCCACCATGCCCCAGACCTTTCCGTAGGACAACCCCCCCCCCCATCACCCAGAGGACCGTCAGCACTGGTCAGGGCCTTGGGGACAGACGGAAGCGCGAAGCCCCGCACACGTACGCGGCCCCAGGAGGCTCACACACTGCTGGGCCTGGCCGCGGGGCGCAGCCGAAAATAACTTTACTGGGGGCGGGGCGGGGCGGGTGGGCGCTGTACAGAGCGGCGGAGTCCGGCGGGCAGGCGGGCGGGCGGCTCAGCGTGGCGGCAGGCGGCCAGGCCCAGGCGCGCGGCCCAGCACCTCGCCGCTGAACTGGTAGGTCAGCTTCTTCTTCACCTTGCGCACCTCGCCAGTCTTGCCGTAGTTGCGCAGCGCGCGCGCCATCTTCTGGTAGGTCATCTTCTTGCGGTTGCCCTTCTGGATGCCCCAGCGGTGCGCGAGCGCCTCCTTGTGCTTCGACGAGAACTGGAAGGTGCCCTTGTCCTTGTCCACCCACCAGATGCTGTCCTTCATGTCGCCGCTGCGCAGCAGGTCCAGCAGGAACTGGTACAGGCGGATCTTCTTCTTGCTGCCTGCGGGACATGGCGGTGGGGAGGGCGGTGGGGACGGGGATCCGACGGGAGCAAGGGGGAGGTGTGTGGGGACCTCACCTCCAGGGGGACCTCACCTCCGGGGGACCCGCACCTCCGGGGGACCCTCACCTCTGGGACCGTCACCTCTGGGGGACCCTCATCTCCGGGGGACCCTCACTTCCAGGGACCTCATCTCCGGGGACCCTCTCCTCCTGGGGACCTCACCTCCGAGGTCGAGAGGGACCAGGGACCCCCATCTGTGGAGGGGTTCCCACCTCAAGGGGCCTGGGAGGGACCTCACAGCTTGGGCGCCGGGCCGGAGGGTGTGCAGGGAGCCGCCCCCAGTCCGTGAGAGGTGCACGCTCACGCACACCCACACACTCCTGCACACACACTCCCAGGCTGAGGCCTCGGCTTCTGCAGAGACCTGCGCCCCCGCACGTGCGGCCCAGACCCCCCAGAGGCCCCAGGCCGGGTGGGTACCTGGTTCCCCGTGCAGGAGGCCGGGCCCAGGCTCCAGGCCATCGTTCTCGCCGTCGGACACCTCCAGCGGGGGGCTCTGCCGCTCGCCCTCCTCCTCATCCGAGCTGGGCTGCGCTGGGGACAGGGACGGGTACTGGACGCACATCCGGGTCACGTAAGGGACCTGGGAGGCCGAGCGGGGAGGAGGCCAGTGAGAGGCGCCGGGGTCTCTGGAGGCCGAGGAGGTCTGCTGAGGGGGGCGGAGGGGTGGGAAGCTGGGGAGGCCAGGCCGGCAGGGGCCCCGCGGGGACAAGGTGCCCCCCCCCAGCTGACACCTCCCCGGGCGCAGCGGGGCCAGAAGGGGAAGCGCGGGGGCAGGGGGTGGGGACGGGGGTGGGCGAGCGAGTGGGTCGCGGAGGTCACAGCTGGGAGTCCGGACACGGACACGGGGAGCCTGTGGAGCCTCTGGGGAGATAAGGGCTGCGGGGTCGCCAGATCCGCCTGGGGCGCGGGGGGCAGGAAGCCCCGCTGAGTAAGAGCCGCGTCGGCTTCCCGAGGGGCTCCGGCCTCGCCACACTTCGGGCCAGGGCCAGGGCCAGCAGCGCACGCACCTGGTGGCCAAGGCCGGCGTGGGGTGGCACCATGGGGGTGTCGAGGACGTGCATCTGCTCCAGCTCCATGTGGCGGTACAGCTGCTGCAGCTGCGGGGGCTGCACGCTCTGCAGCTCGGTGAAGTGGTTCTCGGGGAAGGCCTCAAACTCGCTGTGCACGTGGTGGGGGTGGAAGTCCCAGTAGTGGTCTGCGAGGACAGCCAGGGCGCAGTCACCGACCAGGCACCCGGCCCGCGACAGCTGGCACTGCTCGCGCTGGTGCTGGGCCCGAGGTGCGGGGTCGCTGACCGTGGCTGCCCTGGAAACCCCCGCCCCGGGCCCCACCAGGCTGCAGGCTGGAGTCTGGGCAGCCACGTCCCGGGGGCCGGGCTTCACCCTGCAGGGTGTTGTCGAGAGCTCTGGTGATTAGCAAAGGGGCTGTGGGGGGCTCTGGGACTCAGGGATCAGACCCAGCTTCCTCTTTGCTGTAGACCCCCTGCTTCTGACCTCTTGCCTGCACTAGGGATTGAACCCAGGGCCTTTTCTCTGAGCTGCACCCAGACCTTTTTATTTTTTATGTTGAGACCGGGTCACACTAAGTTGCTAAGTTGCCCGGGCTGGGCTCAAACTCAAGATCCTCCTGCCTCAGCCTCCCATAGCGCCGGGATGACAGACGTGCACCACCACACCTGGCTCCTAAGGAGAATTTTGCTCACAGAAACTCTGGAGCCCCACCCTAGGGCCCACTGAAGTCTGCAACAGAGACTCCCTGCACCTCCCTGAAGGTTTCAAAAAGCCCAGCAGAAGTCTGGCCATTGCTCTTGGTTTGAGTGCTGAAGCAGCTGGGCGATAAACACTGTCGGCTGGGCAGAACTCCCTGACACTGGGTCCCCGAGAAGCCATGGCAAGGGGCCTTCCTGGTGCAAAGGTCGCTCCCAGGCTTGGCACCCTTGTTTCTGGACAGCTCTACACGAATACGTTGCTCCTCCCTGCACCACCATGCAGCCCCTTCACACAACACCAGGGCATCTAAACACAGGAGACAGAGGGGCCCCTTCCCAGGGCCTGCTGGGCACCCAGTGTCCAGGGGGCCTTGATCAATATTTGATTGCCATGATTGGCAAAAGCCAACTCTGTTTTTTTTTTGGAGACAGGCTCTCTCTATGCAGTCCAGACTGGCCTTGAACTCACTGTGTAGCCCAGGCTGGCCTCGAACTCAAGGCAGTTCTCCTGCCTCAGCCTCCTGAATGCTGGGATCACCGGTGTGCACCACCACTCCCAGCTTCCAAAACCCAACTTGTAATGTGTCTTAAATGTACCAGCCACTGTTCTAAGCATCTAATTCACATTATTGCACTTCATCTTCACCCTGGTTCTAGGGAAGTGGCCACTATGTGTGGTCTTCCTTTTGCATACAAGGAAACTATGATTCGAAGAGGGTTTGTGCACTCATTGGTAGAGTCAGGATCCAAGCCCACTTGTGTCTGTCTCAAGACTAAGCTGCTACCAGTACCTCACACCACATCTGAGGAACAAGGCTTAGTGAAGCTTTAAGTAAGACCTGTGGTGACTCTCAGAGACTTAGCTGACTGCTCTTATCCATTTCTCTGTCCTCCATCACCCACCCATCATCTATTATCTATCACCCATCATTTATCCATCCACCAACTCATTTATCCACTCATCCATCCACCCATTCACTCATCCATCCACTCATCCACCCCTTCATCCATCCATCCATCAATCCACCCATCCATCCATCCACCAATCCATCCATCCATCTACCATCCACCCAGTCATCCATCCACCATCCACCAATCCATCCATCCATTCATCCATCCATTCAACTACCCATCCACTCATCCACCCACTCATCCATCCATCCATCTACCCATCCACTCATCCACCCACCAATCCATCCATCCACTCATCCACCCAACCATCCTCCATCCACCCATCATCTCCCCATCAGTCACCTGTCAATCACCCATCCATATCCAACCTCCAGCCAGCCAGAAATAACCCCTTCATCTTGATCTCTGATTTCCTCCTTCTTAACCAGAGGCCAAAGTCTTATCCACACAACCCTATTCTTTTTCAGTTGTCACTGAGACAAAACAACATGATGTTCAAAACAAGTCCACATGAAAGCTGAAGCTTAGGAGTCATCCGGGTGACCTTCGCTCCTCAGAACAGGAACACCAGCCTGAAGTCCAGGGCTCTCCCAGGGGAGCCCAAGGACATTCAAAACAGAAGAAAGAAGGGGAATCAAGAGCACACGAGTCAGGAAAAACCTCAGGAAATCACAGACCTTCACACTAGGGCTCCTAAAACCCAGCCCCTCCTGAAAATTGTTCAGGTGTGAAAGATCGAGGTCCAGAGCGCAGGAAGGTGAAGGTCTCGTCGCACCTGTCACCCTTCTCACTGTTAGAGTTTGATTCTTTCCCTGGGATAATTATGGGCCGGATAGGATCTGTGTCACATTCACTTCTCAGCATCACACAATGTGCCTGGCGTATGGAAGGCACGGGGTACTTGACAGAGGGATAGGCTGGTGTGGGATGGAGGGCGTTCCGCAGGCGTAGAGAGACAGAAAAGGGCTGAGTGGACCACTAGATGGGTGTGTGAATGAACTGATGGATGAGGGTGCTTCGTGGTGTGCAAAGGTGAAAGAGTATATGGAGATCTGGGTGGGTGGATGGGTGAGAGGGTGGACGTAGGGATGGGTGGGTGGACAGACAGAGTCATACTTTGGCACTCTCTTTCCCTCACCAGTCCCATCACAAATAGCAAATCCTGTCATACCCACTAGGATGACTACTATTAAAATAAAAAGAAGCAGAAAATGCCAAGTGTTGGTGAAGATGTGAAGTTACAACCTTTGTGGGCTGTGGTGGGATTGTAGAAATGGTGCAGCTGCTACAAAAAATAATAAGGTAGGGCCTGGGATTTAGCTGAGTGGCACAGTGCCTGCCTGGCAAGCGCAAGGTCCTGAGTTCGATTCCCGGTACCAAAAAAATAATAATAAGGCAGCTCTGCAAAGATTTAGCAATAGAATTACCATAGGACCCAGAAAATCTGCCCCTCAGTTCGTATGCAAAAGGATTGAGACAAGAGTCCTGAAGAGATTCACCGCCCATGTTCAGACCAGCATTAGTCACAGTAGCCAGAAGGTGTGAGCAGCCCACGTGTCCACTCAGGGATGGATGGATGAACAGATGTGGTCCATACACACAATGGAGTACTACTCAGTCTTTAAAAAGGAGGGAGACTTCTACGTGTGCTACCACACAGATGCACCCTGAGGAGATTGGGCTAAGTGAAACGAACCAGTCATAGAAGGAGAAATTCTGGATGGTTCCATTTATGTGAGGTACCTGAAGTGGTCAAATTCATAATGAGAGAAAGAATGGGTGGTGGTCAGGTGTGGTGACGCATGCCTGTAATCCTAGCGCTCTGGAAGGCTGAGGCAGGAAGACTGTCACGTTTGAGCCCAGCCTGGGCAACTTAGTGACTTAGGAAGACCCTGTCGTAAAATAAACAATACAAAAAGGACTGAGGCTGCAGCTCAGAGCAAAGGCCTTGGGTTCAATTGCCAATAGAACAGCAGCCACAGAAACAACAGAGAGTGAAATAACGGTTTGGGGCTGGAGGCTGAGTTGCTCAGTGTGCAGAGACTTGGCTTTTCGAGATGACTTCTGGAGGCAGGCGCTGCTCAGTGTCACGAAGGTGCTCAACGCCACATAGCTGGCACTGGGACCGGGACCTGGAAGCTTCGTGTCCCATGTGTGTCCCGGGGAAACAGCCACAGATACAGCAGACCCGAATCAGCGTCGGCCCTGCCCTGTCCACCCCGTCCTGTCTCTGCTGCTCCATCAAGTGACAGAGGAAAGGCAGCCGGTAAACATGAAGAGGTGCCTCACCTCCTGCACACCCACTCCTAGGGGGCTCTCATGAGATTACAAATCTCAGCGTTCACCATTCACCAGGCCCTGGACTGTTTGTTTGTTTCTTTTGGTTTCTTGAGAAAGGGTCTTGCTATGCAGTTCAGACTGACCTTGAACTCACTACATACCCCAGGCTGGCCTGGAACTCCCAGCAATCCTACTGCCTCAGCCTCCCAGAGTGTTTTAAAATGCTCACCACACACACACACACACACACACACACACACACACACACATGCTCTCTCCAAACTCTCCAACAGGCTGGGGCGTGGCTGCTGGCACAGCGCTTGCCTATCCCGGGTGAGCTCAAGGGTTCCCACCACAGAAAACAAAAACAAACAAGGAACCCCCCTAGATGAAGTCCACCCCCTCGGGGCCTCGGAGCCTTGGGTGACCCCCATCATTTCATTCCCAGCCCCAGGCCAGCGGCCCTGGCTCCTCATCGAGGTCCCTCCTGCTGTGGCCCTTGCTGTCCCCAGCCAATACCCCACAGACACTGCTGTCACCTCACCCTGTGCCCCTGGCCCTCCCCCAGCCTCAGGATGCACTAAAGCCATGGGAGGCACCCGAGTTTCCTGGCACAGCACAGTGCCCAATCTCACAGACGATGACATGCATTACCTTGCTGAGTCTCACAATTCTGTGGGGTATTTTCCTGTTTTTTTTTTCTCGGTACTGGGGATTGAACCCTAGGGTCTTCACACTGAGCTACATCTCCGTCCTTTTTTATTTTTTAATTGTGAGACAGCATCAGTTGCCTAGACTGGATTTGAACTTGTGATCCTCCTGCCTCAGCCTCCCAGAGTGCATGTTCTCAATTTTACAGATGAGGAAACGGGAGTTCAGAGAGGCTCTGTTCCTAGGTGGACAAGCACACGGAGCCAGGACTGGACCCAGGCCCTCCCTGAAGCCTTGTCACTAAGCATAACTACCTAAAAACGTGGCTGCAGAGGGGGCAGGAAAACAGGGTGTCCTTGTCAGTCTTCAGGTAACGCCTTCCAGCAGGCGTTAGGAAGAGCGAGGAGGGTGGGAGGAGCAGGGCCAGAAACACCCAAGTCTGGGGGTGTTCAAGGCTCTCGCCCAACGCGGAGCGCCTGGCTTCCAACCAGGGGTCACCCCTACAGCTCCACCCGGCAGGGTCTGGGCCTGGGAGAAGCAGCCTTGAGACGTGGCAGCCCAGCCACCAGGGGGCGCCCTCCTCACACCCAACGGGGCCGGGAGGAAGGTGGGGCGCGGGGTACTGGGAGGCTTTCCCTCCACGGTGTCTGGATTTCCCACGGAAAGAATGGAGTTCGATACACTTACAAATTAGCCGGAAGAGAATTCTTTAAGCCTTTCTAGCTCTAGATCCCCCTCTCTCCCTCTCTCTCTCAGAAAGTCTCACCACGTAGCTCTCACTAGCATAGTCTCACTGTGTCAGGCTGGCCCTGAACTACGTAGCCCAGGCTGGCCTTGAACTAAGGGCAGTTCTCCTGCCTCAGCCTACTGAGTGCTGGAATAACAGGCATGTGCCACCAAGCCCAGCTCCCAAGATCCACTCTGGGTCCCCATCACAGCTCCTGCCCGGGTCCCTGGCATCCCCCAACCCCTCTCCTCGGTCCCGAATTTGCTCTAGGAAAAGGCTGGACCTTTCGGAGGACAGTGAGATCGAGCCTGAGGAGGGTCCCTTAAGCCAGGACCCTCCCACCCCCACCCGTCCCCAGCGAGCCGGGCCTCGGCCTGTGCTGAGCGAGGGGTCCTCAGGGGGTTCCTCCCGAGCCAGCAGCTCCCAACTCGGGGGCTCCCCGAGGGCCCTGGCACTGGGCAGAGAAGGCTTGTTTTTGACACCGGCATCCACGGCGAGGCCTATTGAGTCCCGCAGCTCCCGGACCTGCGAGTCATTGTCGGACGCGTCTGCGGGGACAGACGGGATGCACGGGAGGACACTGCCTGATGTGGGGCTCGGAAGAAGCCCGGCCACTCACCGCTGTGGCTGTCGCCATCGCTGCTCAGGTACGGGTAGTACTCGTGTGGGGGCCGCTGGTACAGGTCCGCGTCGTAGGAAACCAGCTCTTCCGACGGCTGTGGGCAGAGGGCGGCAGGGCTGCACCGGGGCCGGGAGGACAGGGCTTCCTCCGCGCACCTGCCTCTCCGGCCCACGGGGCCCAGGTACGGCAGCCCCTCGCGGGATCGACGCACGCGCACGCGGAGCCCCGCCCCGCCCCCTCCGGTGCGCAGCGCGGTGACCTCGCGGACTGGCCTGGTGGTCTGCCCAGGGGTCAGGACCAAGGCTGCGGCTTGGGCCGGGCTGTGGTCCCGCGGCCTCCCCGCCCAGCTCCGTCCTGGGCCTCCTCCCCCTCCCTCCCTCGCTGCACCTCTCTGCCGCACTCCAGCTGGGGCTCAGGGACCCCCCACCCTCCCAACTGCCATCCCGCTGGCCCAGCCCCGCAGTGTGCCCAGGAGTTGCACAACACCCCCGTGGTCCTAGGGCTCGGCGTCGGGAGGGGGCGGGGCTGCCACCCCCTTAGAGATGCTCTGGGTAGCCCTTGGGCCTGGAGTGGGCCTGGGGCTGGGGCCGGGGGAGATCTGCCTCCTGCCCAACTCCAGTTCAGGATCTGGGGGCCAAGGCTGGGAACACTGTGGCCAAAGCCCCAGGCCTACAGCTTTTTTTTTTTTAGACAAAGTCTTGATCTGTATCCCAGCAGCAGACTGGCCTTGAATTCATGGAGATCCTTCTGCCTCAGCCTCCCAAGTACTAGGATTACAGGCATATGCCACCACACCCAGCTGGCTGGCTGGCTGGCTTGCTGGCTGGCTGGCTTGCTTGCTTGCTTGCTTGCTTGCTTGCCACAGGGTCTCTCTGTGTCGTCCAGGCTGGCCTTGAACTATGGCTGGCTGGCCTCAAACTCCCAGTGATCCTCCTGCCTCAGCCTCCTGAGTGCTTGGGTTACAAGCATGTGCCACCACACCTGACACCTGTGGCTTTCTTGGGACAGAGTGGGCACTGGTGGGGACAACTCCTATTGCCCCCAGCCGCCCTGGCACCTTCTCAGTCCCCAGTAGGATCAGGCTGAGGGTGTGGTGGGCATGAGGGCCGGGCAGGCTGGTCCTGACTATGCCAGGGTCAGGCCGAGTGAGGGCAGGAGCACAGCACTTAGGTCGCCTCTCAGGGTCCCAGGCGGCACAGGCGAGCTGTGGTCAGAGGTGCCAGGCCTGGGAGCCACCCCGGGGCCCCTGGGCGGGGTGGGGGGAGGAAGGCAGCTGACTCCCGCGGGGAGAGCTGAGTCAGGTGGGTGGCACTGCCAGGCCCTTCCTGGCTCCCAGTGCGAGGACCTGTGGTGGGAGCTGGCAAGGGGTCCCCTCCCAGGGACCCCACTCTGACACCTGCGGAGGCGGCAACTGTCACCCAGGGCGGGCAGCAGTGCAGATCGGCCCCACTGGCCGCCCACTGTGCCCAGGGTCCCGTGGGGCCCCTCCCTTGTCCCACCTGCCTTGCAGGCCAGTGCCGACCCTGGTCCTGGCCCAGCCCAATCTCAGTCGCACCCCCTGCCCGCGGCTGCCTGAAGCCCGGCCCTGGCACCGACCACAACCGCAGTGTCTCTCCTGCCCAGCCTGGGCCCAGCCCTGCCCCTGCCTCTCGGCGACCTGAAGCCCAAGACCCAGGCCCTTTGGCCAACGACCACATTCTCGGTGCCAGGCCCCAGAGAGGGCACTGGGGACCCACCGGGGACCCGGAGTCCCATCAGCCTCCTTCTCCAGGAGCCCCCAGCCCTGGGCTGAGACCTGTGCCCTTCCTGTCCAGGGCCCTTGGTGCCCCTAAGCCCGCTCCCCTCCTGCCCTGCGGCCCCCTCCCGAGGCTGGCCCGGCACCCCGCCACCCAGCCCGTCTATAAATAATCCCTTCAGGCCCCACCGAGCACAGCCCCACTGTGGGCCCAGCCCTCAGCCTCCGCCACGCTCCGGGAAGCCGCTGCCGGAGCCTGGGAGGAAGCACGGACTTCCCACTGATAGCAGCGGGACTCGGTGGGCACCCAGGCCCGGCTGGGCTGGCGGAGGAGCCCCGCTACTCACAGGGGGGACGAGGGGAAACCCTTCCATCTTGCACGCCTGTAACATCCAGCCGAGCTCGGCGCTGGTCGGGTCCCCTGCCTCGGTGGGGGCCAGTGCAGAGCCCCTCAGGACAGGGTGCCCCGTCGAGGGACTGGACGGCTGGGCCGTGGGGTGGACGCAGGGCTCCGGCCTGCCCCCTGAGCTACAGGAGCCCTCGGGGAGCCCCCTCCCTTGACATTGCAGGGCCAGCGCAAGTTCCTGATTTTATCGCAGGGCCTGCCACTGGGAGATAGTCCCCTTGGGGTGACATCACCGCCCCAGCCCGTTTGCATAAATCTCTTGCGCTACAGGAAGTCTCTGGCCGGCTGGGGCAGGTGGCGCTCAAGGGGCTGGCCTGGGAAGCCTTGGGGGCCAGGCCCCCTGCCCAGAGGAAGCTGGGGCTGGAGGGGACAGGCCAGCTCGGTCTCCATGAGGCCTGGTTACTGAGCTCGGGCCTACCAAGGCTCCCAAAGCCCAGCCCAGCAATACCCATCAAGCCAGTAGTCACCATTAGGGTAGGGATGGTGGCTTCTTCAAGCCTTTACACTCTCTCTCTGTCTTTTTGGCAGTACTGGGGTTGAACGCAAGGACTTCACACCGAGCTACATTGCAGCCCTTTTTTTTTCTGAGACAGGCTCTTGCTATGTAGTCCAGGCTGGCTTTGAACTCATTAGTAAACCAGGGTGGTCTTGAACTTGCAGCAATCCTCCTGCCTCAGCCTCCCTGTGCCTCCTGAGTGCTGGGATGACAGGCCTACGCTACCAAGCCCTGCCTTCCAGCCCTTTTTTAATTGTGTATTTTGAATCAGGGTGTCAGTAAGTCACTAAGTTGCCCCAGCTTGGGTTTAACTTGCATTCCCCCTGGCTCAGCCTCCCACAGTGCTAGGATTACAGGTGTGAGCCTGTCAGCCTTGGCATTTCTGGGTGTGAGCACTTGTGGGCCCTGTGGGCCCTGTGCCCCACCGCAAGGTTCTGCCTAGGCTGTAGTTAGGCTCAGGGTGGGCTGTTCCTGTGGGCTCCCCTGCACCAGGGAGGGTCTCCCTCCTCACTCTGTCCCCTCCCAGCCTCCTGTGTACCATAGCTGCTTCCAGAACTCAGCCCCAGTTTCTCAGTTTCTCCAACTCTCACCAGTGCTTGAATATCTGTCTAATATTCCTAGTTTACAAACTTTTCATCTGTGTCCATCCATTCACCTGTTTTCCTATCCATGTGCTTTTCTAGTTGCCCATTCATCTGTCCACCCATCGACCTGACCAGACATTCATTCATCTGTCTTTATTCAACTGTCCATTTATCTCCAGCCAATTCATCCACTTCCTCACCTCTTTATCTACTTGTTGATCTAGCCATCTGTGTGCAAATGTGTCAGCCCAGCACCTGCTATCAGCCCATCAGTCAGTCCCCTTTCCATCAGTTTATCCACTGTATATCCATCCATCCATCTGCTCACCCACGGTTCATCCACCTATAGGTCTATACATTCATCCGCCCATCCATCCATCCATCCACCCACCCACACACCCACATATCCATCCATCCACATATCCACACGTACACACATCCATCCCCCATCCATCCCCCATCCATGCATCCCTGCACCCCGAGTTTCAGGCTCTGTGTGGGTGCTGAGAAGCAGGGCAGGATCTCTCGGAAGGGTGGAGGGATGTGGAGACTTTTCTGTCTGACTGATCTCGGTAAGTCCTCTCTGCTGGGGAAGAACTTCTTGTGTCTCTGTTTCCTCTAAAACCCTGCTTCACATTTCACACTCCCTCCCCGCGGGGACTGGCCGCCTCCTTCTTGCCGGTAGACTCCCAGCTCCTGAAGTTTTTCCTCACCGCCAGCAAAACCCAGGGATCACAAGCTGGGTTCAGGCAGGAGGATCACAAGTTCAAGTCCAGTCTGGGCAACTTAACTGGCTGGACCCTGTCTCAAAATAAAAAATAAAAAGGGGCTGGAGATGTAGCTTAGTGTGGAGGCCCTGGGTTCAATCCCCAGTGAGGGGAGGGGGGACTCAGCCTGTGCTGTGGACCTCACTGCCCTGTTCTAATGTTTTCGTGTCCCCAGTTTTTCTGATGTTTTTGTGTCTCTGCAGGTCCAGGTCACAGGTTCTCCGGCTCCTAGGAACCTGACCGAGGGTCTCTCTAGGAGGAGGGGAGAAGGGCTGGGTCCTCCTTGGCCATCCAAGGCCAGCCCCAGGTGACAGGACGTAGGGACAGTGCTGTCCACCCCTGGGACCCGGGTCCCGCCGCGGCATTCGGGCCCCCTGAATCCCAGGCTGTGACTGTCCTGGTCCGGTTTGTCTGTGTTCTTTTTTATCTGCTCCTCCCTTTCTTTCTTCACGCAGTGACTTGTTAGTATTCCTCTGCATACCAGGCCATGAGGGGCACAGCTGTCCCCAGGCTGCCTGGGGTCTCCAGAAGATCCAAGCTGGCCTGGGTAAGACAGCCCATAAGAGTTCCAGAGGGCACCAGGCTCAGAGGCACAGGTCTGAAATCCCAGCTACTCAGAAGGCTGAGGCAGGAGGATCCAAACCCGGAGGCCACCTGGGAAACTTATCCAGATCCTTCTCAAAATAAAATTTTAAAAAGGCTGGGATGAGCCAAGCATGGTGGTGCACGCCTGTAATCAGAGCCCCTGGGAGGCTGAGGCAGGACAATTGCAAGTTTGACCCCAGGCTGGCCAACTTAGTACTTAGCAAGATCTTGTCTCAAAATTAAAAAAAAAAAAAAAAGCAAGGAAGTAGCTCAGGGGTAGAACACATGCTTAGCACGACAAAGCCCTGGGTTCAACCACCAGCACAGAAAGGGAGAGAGAGTCAAGACCAAGAGTCGGGAAATGCCAAAGGCCTCCGACGCACTGGCCACGCAGAGGCCCGTGAGCATGCGCACAGCAGCGGCCTCGCGGCCCTGTTCCAGCCTCTGCTCTCCTCAGCGCCTGGTGGCCTCCGCCCATCTCCCAGACCTGGCGTTGCTCAGGCCTTGGGAGGAGTAGGAAT